AACCACAACTGAAGTACCCTTGACCGGACTCGAACCCAAGACTCTTTGGTCCTTGGGCCAATGCTCCAACCGCCAGGGCCCTTGTGCCAGATTTCCGATGACCTGTGTGATGTACCGGAACGCGAGCTGATCACAGTTACCATGTACCTTCTTCTCGCATAATTAGGACAAGAGGTGTTTCCTGAATCGAGTGGCTCTACCTTAGCATAATTCTCTGCTCCCTTAACTCAGAGAGTTGCCATGGCAGGAACTGCGGAAGCTGTCTGTCAGCAGCTAGTGAGAGTCCTATTACTTCCTGGGTGGAGGCGGTCCCACACCGGCAAGGTAACCAACCTGCTTTGTGCAGAAGGGCTGGACTATACCAATGAACTTACCCACAAAAGAAGGAATGATGGGAGGTTGGGAATGTATTCGGTGGGTGGTTCTGTCACTCTGTCATAGTCCTTATCCCCAGTTCTCCTTGCACACCTGGGGAGACCGAGGCTCAGAGACGCCTTCACGGCCACAGCAATGCCAGGATTCACAGCCAGACACTTCTGACCCCAGACGGCATGCTTCCTTCCCCAGGTGGGCTGTTTCTAGAGAAGGCCTGCAGAGGGTGTAATCTCAGGGGGGAAGTCATGGGCTTTTAAGGAGGTGCTGTCTCCACAGGAGGTATGACGAAATGGAGGAGGAAGACCACAGGGAGGCTGGCATCAGACTGCCCTCTGGCTCACAAGAGCGTGGTGTCCACACTGAGCTCGCAGCAGTAGATGTGGGCCAATAGGGTGTATGTCGCAGCTGCTAAAATCGTGCTTCCTTCATAGACCGTGCATCCCGAAGGCCTCATGGCATCAATGACCTTGAAGTGACTGGCCCACCTGGCAGCAGCGAGAATGTTCTCGCCTAGAACTAGTAAACAGGGAACCTGCACCCAGGCTTTACACCCGGTAAGTTCTCCTGACACCTGCTGTGCCTCGCTGTCCCCAGATGAGTCCTGAACTCTCGCGCGGACCTGGACATCGCCTCAAGTTCACTCCTGGCCTGATTAGTGTGATGTCAATTTAGTTGCAATAGTGGGCACTTATTATTTTGCATTCTCTTTTCATTAGTTTCCCACAGGATTCGAGACTGGTGGTTTACACACTTGGCAATTCTCAAAGTCTACAGGAATCTTAGTTCTTGTTAATTTTCTGTTTGTTAGATCCTACTTTGGGGCCTATGGGTCTTGCTAAAGTTCTCATTCTGTAAGTGGTGTTAACACAAATAACTTTGTTAAAAGTCCTTTTGTGCAGTGGCAGGTTTGGCTCAGCGGTTAGAGCGTCAGCCTGTGGACCAAAGGGTTGAGGGTTCGATTCCAGTCAAGGGCATGTACCTTGGTTGCAGTTCGAACCGTGGCCCTGGCTGGGGTCATGCGGGAGGCAACCCTTTGGTGTGTGTCTCTCCCTCCCTCCCTCCCACTTTATCTGAAAATCAATGGAAAAATATCCTCCAGTGAGGATTTAAAAAATATATATATATTTGCTTTTTCACATATTTTCTAGGAAACATTAGTGAGTTCCTGCCATGTGCTAGGCACTGTGCCAACATGAATAGGACAGTCCCTGTGCTCTAATGGGAGACTGACAAAGCAGACAGCCACAGCAGGGTGTGGCAAGCACTCTATGGAACGGGACCGGGGTGGGGGTGGGGGGCCGACCAGCCCAGAGATAGCTGCTCCAGGTACAGACACACCACAGCCAGTTGCTCAGCAGCGTCAACTATGAGCAAGATTTTCTTTCATTCAGTCATGTCAGTGAGTAGGCTTTCATTTCCAGATGTTTGATTCCTTTTCAAATACACCTGTTCTTTTTTCACAATGTCTTTTTTCTAGTACTTTCTATGCTTTATCTTTTCCTTCATTTGAAAACTACTTTCTCCCTTCGAGTTTCTTTCAGATTGCTCTAGGACGTGAAGTTCCCAAGAGTAGTAAGCTTCCTGTTCTGCCCATTCACTGTCATTGTGGGACGTGTTTGTGAGTGGTCTGTGTTTTTACTGTGAACATTTTTTCTTTTTCTTGGTGTTCCTATGAGCCCTGAGCTGTGGAACTATAGCCAGAGTGTAGTTTTACATTTGCTTCTGTTCAGTGTCCTAGGGGTCTAACTGCTTTAACTGACCTATTTTTACCATAATGTCTTTGCTTAGGGAAATTATTCAATCACTTAAAAACAATTCACTGAAGCCCTGGCTGGTTTGGCTCAGCAGTTAGAGCGTCAGCCCGCGGACCAGTGAGTCGAGGGTTCGATTCCAGTCAAGGGCACGTACCTCAGTTGCGGTTCATCCTGGGCCCCGGTCCGGGTCATGCAGGAGGCAACCAGTCGATGTGTCTCTTCCACATTAGTGTTTCGCTCTCTCTCCCTCCCTTCCACTCTATCTGAAGATAAATAGAAAAATATCCTTGGTTGAGGACTGAAAAACCAAAAACAATTTACTGAACATTTACTATATGATATTCCCATATTTGGTGCTGGGGAAGATACAAAATAATGCAAGACAATAACATATGGCTGCCTTACAGACATGGAACCACTGTCTGACTGTCTGAAAGGACCAAATACACACAAAACGTTAGGTGACCACGCAAGGCAGAGTAAGTGAAAGGGCAAACAGTGGACCCACAGTTGAGGGCAGCAGGAAAAACAGACAGCTAGGGAAAAATGGGGAGGAAAAGCCCAGAGGAGGAAAAGGTTTGTGTGAGGAAGTTTCGGGAATCTGACTTCTGGGTGGAGAGTTAGCGTGCCGCTGTAATCCCAGACGAGGCTGTGGATGAACTGTACTATAAGGGCCCTGCTGCGAAAACAAAATCAGAATCCAGGCAAAAGGAAGTCATTTAAAGTGCTCCTGGGGCAGGAGGTAGGTTTAATTAAAGTTGTGTTTGAAGAAGAAAACAGAGTAACCTGAAAGGGCTAGGAGGCTTTAAAAATATATTATTATTATTATTGTTGTTGTTGTTAATCCTCATTGATTTTTCCATTGATTTTTTTTTTACACAGAGTGGAAGGGAGGGAGAGAGGGAGAGAGATACATTGATGTAAGAGAGAAAGAGACATTAATTGGTTGCCTCCCACACAACCCATCTGAGGCTGGGGCTTGAACCTGCAATCCAGGTATGTGCCTTTGACCTGAAATCGAACCCGAAAAGCTTTGGTCCAAGGGCAGAGGCTCTAACCAAACCACTGAGCAAGATGGCCAGGACAATATATATATATATATGTATATATATATATGTATATATGTGTATATATATATATATATATATGTATATATATATATAGTTGTCCCTTGTTTATCGCGGTTAATCCATTCCAGACTCTAGCGGTTGCACCTGGCATTGAAGGATTCCTGGGGTGCTCGAATACATAGGCCTGCAGTCCATATGTACAGTAATTTTAATTGTAATTGTAATACAGGGGTGTATAATTGACTCAGACAACTGAGCGCGCGCTGTATCATTTTCACTGTCTCGATCAACTTTTTAATGAATATATTTGAAAAAACCGCGATAGAGTGAAGCCGCAAAAGTTGAAGTGTGAAGTGGCGAGGGACGGCTGTATACATATTATTGAATTGAGAGAGAGAGGAAGGGAGAGGGAGAGATAAACATTGATTGGTTGTCTCCCATACCCCACTCCCCACCCAGTCCTCCATCAAATCTTGAAACCTGGGCATGTGTCCTGACCAGCCTGAGACCCTTCCATGCACTGGGAGGACACTTCAACCAACTGAGCCACATGGGCCAGGGGGCGGACTAGGAGGCTTTGCAGTGATATAGACCAGAACAAATCTGAGTTAGGGAAGCCAGCATTGGGGAGAAAGGGAAGGAGGGTAGACTAGCAAGACTGGGACGTGGAAGGTGTTAAGTATTTGTCAGGAGTGGCAAGGGGGAGGTGGCTTTTTAAGAGTTAAGGCAGGAAGGATTTGGGAAGGGCAGACGGAAGGAAACCTGGACTAAGTGGTCAGGAGGCAGACGTCTATTCTAACAAACTTTCTCACAATGAACACAGGATGCACACGGGCAAAGGGCTAGGTCCCTCATGGCCGTGTTCCTGCAGACTCTGGCTTACTCAATTTCTTCTGTTTAAACAGAAACTTCCTGAGCACCTTCACAAATAGCAGGGCGCCCTTCTAGGTGTCATTGCAGGGGTGGACACATTTGTAAACAGGAACAGGGCACCTGCTTTAATACAGTAAATCCTCACTTAACCCCATAACAAAACCGGTTTTACCAAAGACTAGTTGATATAAACAGGAGGTAAGTTCCTATGTATCTCATCAACGTTATAGCAAAAAGAAAGGAAATTGAACAAAATGTTATTAGAGGACCAGCTGTACCTTCCTCTAGGGGTTGTTGTGAGGATTATACTGGAGTTAACATGGCGCAAAGCACCTTGAACTGTGTCTGGCATGCTCGAGTGGTGTGGCTCAGTGGACTGAGCAGGGTCCCGGTCAGGGCACATGCCCAGGCTTTGGGCTCCATCCTCAGTAAGGGGCGTGCAGGAGGCGCCCCATGATGTTTCTCACATCTCCCACACTTCTCTCTCACATCATGTTTCTAGCTCTCCCTCTCTAAATAAATAGATAAGATAGATGGGTGGATAGATGGGTAGATATAGATGGATAGATAGATAGATAGATAAATGTTTTTGGCACAAAGTAAGTGTAACTTTAGGGCCAGTTATTATTTCATTTTAATTAACTAAAGGTTAGATTATGGACACCTAGCAGGCACAAGCCTGCGTGTGCTCACAATGAACCCCGAATCTAGTGGAGACTGGCCAAGTACTCTGGAGCAAAACATTTTCTAACCGTGGGCTCTGAAGGAGGTTCGCGAAGACTCAGGTGCGCAGGAGGCTGGCCAGCCTGAGCGCTGCATCTGGTCTGGCGGGAAGGCAAAGAGGAGATCGCAGAGGGGTGGCCCTGCCGCAGCAGGCCTCGCAGGCCGCTCCCCGGGATCTGGGCCGCAAAGGGGCGGACGCAGACCTGCAGAGAACACGGCCGGAGCCCGGGACGGGGCTGGGAATCGCCGCAGACCATATTGGGGGTGTCTGGCTGCCAGAGCCGCAAGCCCCGCCCCCGCCGCTCACTGGGGCTCTCAGGGGAGCGCCCAGGCCTGCGGAGGCCTACACAGGCCCCAGGCCCGCGCCCCGCGCCGCCCGCGACCGCTGACCCTCAGCCTCCGCCCAGCTTGGCGCCGGGTCCCAACCCGGCCCGGGACGATATCCAGCGCGTGCCACTCACCGCGCCACCCTCCCGCGCTCCCCCGCCGCCGCGAGTGGTGCGGCCCGGCTCCGCCCCCTGACGCCAGCGAGGGGCGGGGCGCCGTCCGTCACGTGACGGGGAGTGACCTCGCCGCCGGGCGCCATGGGGGCCTCAGACCCGGAAGTGGTGCCCTGGGCTCGCGGCGGTGCCGCGGGGATGGCGGGAGCCGGAGCTGGAGCCGGAGCTCGCGGCGGAGCGGCGGCGGGGGTCGAAGCCCGGGCTCGCGACCCGCCTCCCGCGCATCGCGCCCACCCGCGCCACCCTAGGCCTGCGGCGCAGCCCTCAGCCCGCAGGATGGACGGCGCGTCCGGGGGCTTGGGCTCGGGGGACAACGCCCCGACCACCGAGGCTCTTTTCGTGGCACTGGGCGCGGGCGTGACGGCGCTCAGCCATCCGCTGCTCTACGTGAAGCTGCTCATCCAGGTGGGGAATGGGGGCGCCGTAGGGAGGTGGGGGCCCCTGTGAAGGTGACAGGCCTCGATCTCGTCAGATTGGGGTGGGGGAGTCGATGGCGACAGATTTGGGGAGAGCTTCGGGGACCGAGGGTTTGGTGGGTCGAAAGAACCGGAGAGAAGGAAAACGAGAAGAGTTTGGGGGATGCAGGGGGCACGGGTTTGGGGGTGCAATAGAGTAGGCGAAGGGGTGGAGCGACAGATTTGGGAAAGGGTGGAAGGAACAAGGGGTAGGGGTGCAAAGAGAGGGCGAAGGGATAGAGACAGATTTCGGGGATAGAGGCGATGAACTTGGAATAGGAAGGAAGGGGCATCGTTTTGGGGTGAGGAAAAAGGCAACAGAATTGGGGGAGGGGCAGGGTGTTTTGGTGAATGGGTGGGAAGGAGGGTTGGGGGCCAAGGGAAAGTATTTAGAAGATGAGCGCATATTCAGGGTAGAAGGGAGCAAGAGCTCTGGGTTTGATAGGGATGGATTTAAAGCGGTTTGGTAAGACAAAGGACAGGGGGCCAGGGCCAAAAATTTAGGAGAAAAAGTGCATCAGACTGCAGGAAGAAGGGAATGGGAGCTCGAGAACTGGTGGTGACGGAATTTGGGGGAAGAGGGCGAAGGCGGAGGATTTAGCAGGGGAGAGCTTTCGTGGAGATGGGGGACTGTGGAGCTGATGGCGACGACAGATTTGATGGGAGGAGGGAACGGGGTGACGCGTTTGAAAGGAGGGGAACATAGGGCGACGCAGTGGGGGAGGGGAGTAGTGGCGTTTTGTCTGGAGAGGGGCGCGAGGGGGAGGCTTTTGAGGGAAAGGGATGACGCACTTGGAGGAGAAAATGGAAGTCACGGTTGGGGTCGGGAGATGGGGATCACAGCCCTTGTATTTGGGGGGATGGGCTGAAGGGGTTTGGAAATACTAGAATTGAGCAGAAGGGGTAGTTGGGACATAGGATGACAAGATGGAGAGGAACTGGCAGAAACTGAGGCCAAGGTAGGATGTCTGGAACAGTGCCATGCAGCGCACTGGGTATATTGGCGGTGACCAGCAATGCCTTACAGATGAAGCAGGCTGCTTGAGAAAGGAGAGACTGCGTTGGAAGGAGGCAGGGTGGAGGGATGCATTTGGCAGAATTAGGTGGGGGTAACAGATGAGCGCTGTTTAGAAGGGGGGTGGTTCAGGCCTGAAGATTTAGCCTGGATTCTCCAGTTAAGAAGAGTGGGCATTAGGGGGTACTGAGATGGAGACCCAACCAAAGTTTCACGTTTGATTTGAATTGTAGCAAATGGGTGTCAGATTTACTGTCTTAATAATTGTCCTGACCATGGAAGATACAATTGGAATAAGAGGGAATTCAATGGGAGCAATTGAAATCAGACATGGAATAGAGGAGATAAAGGGAATGGGGCAATAGATTTGGCGATACGACCAGGAATATGACAAAGAATGAGGAGATTCAGTCAGGGATATCAGGGTGCCTGACTAGACTCTGTGATTGAGACTTGGAAATGGCCAACAGAGAAAGATGTTTGGTTGTGATTTGGGAGTGAGGGCTGCTTTACGTACAGAATTAGGATTGTTTTTACAGCAACAGAGATTACGGGTTTGGGAAATTGGTACCTGAGATGCGATGTAAGGATACTGGGAGCTGAGTTTTTCGGCTGGCGAAGTGAGGTTGGGTGAGGGCGGGGATAGGCTGGCAGATAGGAGGGTCTGTGGAGTGGAGGACGCTAGAGTATAGGAATCCATGGAGTCCAGGGGCTCCATGCGAAGGAAGTGGGAAGTAGCTTCATCATTTGGACCATCGTAGATTTGGTTTACAGGTTTGAGAAGAAAATTGAAATAAGAGTGATTTGAAGAGAGAAATTGGAATGAGGCAGAATGGGGAATTGGGGAATAAAGGGAAACTAAAGGGTGAGAAGACCCGGATGGTGGGGCGGGAAGGATGAGTAAGCCCAGTTGGGGTGACAGGTGACCTGTCCGATTTGAACTCAGCTGGTGTTGAGTGTAACATATTTTAGGGTACAATTTTAGTGGGGATAGCTTGGGAATCAGTAACATTTTGCAAAAAGGCAGATATCAGTTTTAGGGGGTAGCAGGATTGGAGTGGCAGATTTGGGGTAAATAAGGACGCAGTGCCTCAGATCAGGGCTCGTGGGTGTCAGGTTTCAGGATTTGGAGATTTAAGGGGGATGGACTGGCTCTGTCAGAATGTGGTACGGAGCCATGGCTTTGGACTGGGTTAATAGATTTGAGGATGACATTGGGTAGGTATGACTTGGGCACAAATAATGTAAACTTGAAGGCAAGGAGAATAGGGGTGAAATATGGCCAGTGTGCCTTTGATCACCCAGGTGGAAATTAAAAGATAGACTCGATGGATTTGGGAGCTTTGGGGACATGAGGTGAAGGGTCACAGCAGATACAAGGTTGAAATTGGAATCAGTGGGACTCCCAAATTGTGAAGACTGGCTAAGATAGCAAACGAGCAGTAGTCAGACTTAGAGTAGAGTGGATGAAGGGAATGTTGCCTGTGTAAGAGAACACAATAAAAACTCAGAACCTTCGAGCTTTTAACCACGAAGAGGAAAGGTCTGGAAGGGGAGGAGGGCTAACTGTTTAGGTCAGCTGGTTTATCCCTTTTCTCCAACTCCCCTGCGGTAGACTTTTTTAAAGGTCCTCATCCAGAGGTGTTTTTTTATTTGTTTGTTAATCCTTACCCGAGAATATTTTCCCATTGATTTTTAGGTAGAGTGGGAGGGAGGGTGAAAGAGAGAGAAACATCTGTGTGAGAGAGACACATCAGTTGGTTGCCTCCCACACAGAACCTGTGACCCTCTGGTCTGTGGACGGAGGCTCCGACCACTGAGCTTCACTGGCCAGGGCCAGAGGGTTTTTTTATTTTACTATCAGTAATCTGTCATGTAGCTCAGAGTCACATCCACGAGGGACAGTGTGAACTTTCAAAAACAGCAAAGAGGAAAGGGGTTGCACCTGGAGAGCATGGGAGCATTCCCAGTCCAGTCTTTGGGGCAGAGCTTCCCAGTCCCTCCGCTCCTGCCTTCCACACTCCAGAGCTGCTGCTGTACTTCTTGGACTCCGCCGGCCTGCTTTGAGGGACAGGGCTGCTGTCCCAGCCCCTGTCAAGGAAGGAGACAGCGCACACCCTGCTTAGGGGCTTGTCTCCCAGACACCTGGCTTCCTGCCTGGCGGCAGAGCGAGTCTCATAATTGGCCTTACCCCTCAGAAAGACCCTACCTCCCCACACACAGGATATGGGTGGCTTGGTCCTTCACCTACCCATGAGTTTAACATGTAAGCAGCATCTACACAGCCAAAGTGGCCATAGCCCCACAGAAATGCTGGGACATTCTGTCACAAGGATGTGAGTGATTGAGGTTAGAATACGGCTGAGGAATTATTGGAGGAGCAACTGGGATTTGAGGTAACAGTTTGCTCTGCCTGGGAGTGAGGGATGGATTTGTTGGCATCTTCTGTGGGTGTGGTAAAAAATTTGAGTTGTGGGTAAACTTTGGGGTTACTTGGAGCTGAGCTGTCTGAGGTTTGGGACTGAGATCTGGGTGTGCTGTGTTTTGGTGTTACCACATTTAAGATGGAGACTGAAGTTTTTAACCTGGAGATGAGGATAAACAGGTTAATTCTGCGGTGTACATGGGTTCGAAGTGGATAAAAGTAGGGGCTTTTGTTCTGGGAATATCTGGAATTCGAAGGTAGCAGTGTTGGGGAATGGCGGTGACTTGGATTGTGGTGGGGTTGGTATCTGGGACTAACATTTCTGTCATTGGGAGATTCCCTGATACTGATGGTCATAGAACTGATGATATTTTTGCATGTTTTGATGAAGAAAACATCAACAGGAGCAGTGTTGGAATTGTGGATAAAAAATCAGAGGCCTGGGAGATGAGAAGCAGTGACACTAAATCAGCAGTGCAATCTGACCTTCCTTTTGTATTTGTTGATTCTGAAGGTGGGTCATGAGCCGATGCCCCCCACCATTGGGACCAATGTGCTGGGGAGGAAGGTCCTGTATCTGCCGAGCTTCTTCACCTACGGTGAGTGTGCTTCCGAGACAGGAAAGCCCACACCAGCAAGAGAGAAGCATCAGATGGAGAGCAGGCCCAGTTAGCTCTGGGGAACACATGGGCAGCATGGCACTGAGTCAGAGCTGGCATGGAGAAGGGCATCCACAAGTGTGGCCGGAGGCAGCAGGGTGTTGGGGTGGGAGCAGGTGAACAATACATACAGGTTTGGTCCAGCTCCTCTACGTGCAAGCTGCCAGCAGGCAAGCCAGGCAGGGGGAGGGGCAGACACTCCAGGGAAGAGCTAGTCGGGACCCTGGTCCCTGTTATCCCTCCCCCCAGGCTGTGCCTGGAATGGGGCTGGGGAGGGAGGAGGGTATTCTTTTGCCTTCTGAGCAGTCCAGCCCTGTTACTAGGTTTTCTTCTTTTTTGCTACTCAGATAGGAGACCTGTTGGGGTCTCCTGGGTTCTTTTCCTTTGTTCTTCTTCCTCTTTCCCTTGTGTTCCCCAGGAATGGTGCCAACTCATTCTGGCATCTCCACTTACTGAATATAAACCGGTGCGTGGTGAGTCGTGCTTCACCTGTGGTGTGCCCTGACCAGCCATGTGAACTTGGGCAGGCAGCTTAACTGCCCTGGCCCTGAATTCCTCTGCAGAGGAGCCTCAGCATCTTGTGCTGGCCCTTCATACACCCTCCCCGTCCAAGCAGCTCTGCCTGTCCCGAGGTCTCCACCAAGAAGCCCAGCATAGTGGAGCTTGCCCAATGCCGGCGAAGCCCACCTGGCTGCCTCTGCTGCTAATCCCCTGGCCCCTGGGCTCCAGCTGCACCAGATCTTTCCAAGTCCCCCATCACTGTCCCTCTCCCAGTCCCCACCCTCACAGGGTGACCATGATGGGGACTTTCTTTAAATGTGCCCTTGTTGTCTGTGCTCACAGTCAGCCTGATCCTCTCATGCTTCCTCCACCTCTGCTCTTACCTGTTTGGCCACTCTAGAATGTTCTCTGAAGATCTCTTTCTACTGAGTAACTTGGAGCTTCCCTCTGTCCCTTCTTTCACTTCATACACTGTTGGCAGAATCTGATGTCATGTTTGTCTTCAGTCTTGCCGCTGAGTTGTTGAGCGCAGTCTGGGGCCAGACAGAACATGTCATCTTGTAGGGAAATGTGTTCGTGTTTGTTTTTTTTACTGAAAGATTGTCAGTGTAGAGGAGGGGGGATCAAAATTAGGAAGGCACTCCCCACCAAAGTACAGTGAGGCTGGTGGATACAGTCAACACGGTCTGTGGGAAGCCAGCGTGTGGGCTGCCGGCCCCTCCGAGGGTCCTCTGTTTAAGGCTGAGTGTGCTCCAGCCATGCAAGGGACTCGGGGTAGAGCCCGCTCTGTTCACGTTACACAGTCATTCACGAAAGGACTCAGGTAGCGGGGTCTTCACCCACTTTACCGCTTCTTGCAAAGATGAGCAGAGTTCTGAGGTGCTCCCCACCCCGGTTTACGTAAATGTTTCAGTCCAGTTGTTGTAGCAGATGCCTGTTGGGTGTTTCCAGACACTGAACTGCTCTCCCAGGGGAGAGGGCTCTGCTCTCTGGATGTCTAGAGCCTGTGTGGACAGCATCCCTCCCCACGTCCCGGTGAAGATGTAACCCAAAGAACTTCCTGGACAGTTTCTCAGGACTTCAGAGAAACCCTGGAACAAGGGAGCCCCTTTGGGCCCAGAATGGCCTCTGTCAGTGTTTCTGCATGCCTTTCTTTGCTCTCACTTGTTCATACTTCATCTGTGAGGTGGGGAGAAGAAGGGTTCCTTAACTCTTGGCACTGGCGGGCAAGCCGAGTAGAAAGAGGTTAAGTGTCTCGCTGGAGGACACTGGCATTACCCCGTCCCTCTCCCATGTACTGACTGGAGCTCCGGCAAAGCAAAGCTTCCTCTGCCTGCTCACTCTGAGGCAGGCCCCTGTGTCCTCTCCCTCCCGCTCCTCTCTCCCCATCTCAGGAATCCACGTATGCAGGTAACATGCTCTGGGCCCAGTGGAAGCCCACGATAGCAGTGGCATTGGATTGCTGGGTTGGCAGATATGTTGCCGAGAGAAAAGCCTGACATGCAGGTTCCTGCCTCTGTGCGGTGCCAGAGAGCTAGAGTCACGGTCTGAGGGCGAGCTCATTGTCGGGGAGAATGTTCTGCCAGCTTCCAAGTATGCAGCCTTATAAAAATACATCGCCCTTTTGAACATAGTCTAAAAGTTGATATTAAGTAAAACAGCAAAACGTTTAAAAAGTGATCCTTTCAGAGACCCTAATGAAAAAAGCACTGGATGCTTATGTTTTTTCTATGAACTAGTTCATAGGTGAGAGCAGAGGTGGACTGGGTGTCTAGTCTGGGCGTGCCACTCTGTTTTGGACGTCTCTTGCCATTCCTCCCCACATCTTCATTAGTAAATGCCAACAGGTGCCAGGTGGAGTCCTGGGTGAAGCCCAGTGACAGGTGGGGATGCCTGCTCTGTGGCATGCTAGGGGACTCTCTCGTCAACATAAGAAACATTCAAACCTATGATGAATTTTGTGAGTTTATTTGAGCCAAACTGTCGACAAATGCCGGGAACAAAACCTCAATAGAATTGAGATAATGCTCCCTGAGAATGGCAGTTTTGCACCTCAATTTATTCACTTCATTACATGAAATCTATTGGTGACAGCCCTGGCCGGTTTGGCTCAGCGGTTGGAGCGTCGGCCTGCGGTCCAGAGAGACCCGGGTTCGGTTCCCGCTAAGGGTGTGTACCTCGGTTGCAGTTTGTCCCCGGCCCTGGTTGGTTGTGCAGGTGGCAGCCACTCGATGTGTCCCTTTCACATCGATGTTTCTCTCTCTCTCTCTTCCTCTCTCTCCCTCCCGCTCTGTCTGAACAAAAAATGGAAAAATGTCCTCTGGTGAGGATAAAAAAAAAAAAAAGAAATCTGTTGGTGACAGATTAGGGAGGTGAGAGAAAGCAAAGTGGGTAAATCCCTGGGATTGGATAAAAAGTAAAATGATAGACATATCCTTCTTTTACATGTATGGGTACAGGAGAGTTAATTGTCAACAATTAGCATGATAATAATAACCGAGATTTGCAGTTTCCCCCTGGTGCACAGGTTGTGCCCTGAGGGGTCTGGAAAAAAGGAAGTTACCCCACATTCCAAAGGTATGTTATCTTAGATGCAGAAAAGGAAAAGGCAGCAGGCTCCATTAAGGTGAAAATTGACCTTTGTCAGGGAAGATGCTGGCCTAGGACATGACTACCTGCCATAAACTGCTTTTGGTTGAAAAGTTTCAGACCATCCTTCGTGGTTACTGTAGGCCTCTGAGTTTGCAAGGCTGTCCCGCAGGCCTCCCTGAGCCTGCCAGGTTAACACGTGGCCCTTTCAGTCCGCACTCGAGCCTCTTCCGGGATCCCTTCCCTGTCCTTTTTCCCTCCCTCAGGTTGCAAACTCTGTCGTTGCCTGTGGGAACTCGACCTTCTTTCTTTCCTTCTTCCCCCGAGAAAACATTTGTTATAAACGACACTGGTTTCAGGGTAGCAGCACTAAAGTTGCTGAGTTGAAAAACTACAACTGAGTTTGCCAAGTAGATTTTTCAAAGTGAAAAAAGGGCAGTATATGAACTTGTCAAGAATAGTTTTCAAAGGCTTTTACACAAAGGAACGGGCTCGAGAAGAATTCGGGGGTGGGGCCTGATCGCTTCCGAGTCCTGGACGGACCTCTCCTCCGTGACAAGGCAGCGTGTGCTGAGGGACAGGGTGGGGTTGTGACTGGAGTGGGTGTCTAGGTTGGGTGTGACACTGCCACCCCTGCTTCCTTATAGCCAAGTACATTGTGCAAGTGGATGGGAAGATAGGGCTGTTTCGAGGCCTGAGCCCCCGGCTGATGTCCAACGCCCTCTCCACCGTGACCCGGGGCAGCATGAAGAAGGTGAGCTCCCGACGCAGGTAGCAGCGGTCCTGGTTCCCGGAGCTCCCTGCCACCCCAGAGGCGGCCATCTGCGCTGGTCCCGCTGCTCTGTTCCCAGACCCCGGTGGGCCAGCGCTGAGGCTCGTTGATTGGGAGGCTTCCTGCTCCGCAGTCCTCCCGCTTTTCCACAGCTGTGACACCAGGCGGGGCCTTTGTCCCCTGCCCCAGCCCTGGCGGTTACCTGAGTCTGGCCCAGCTATGGTTACCAGAGAACGTTGTAGGAGCTGCTTCCTGCATCTCTGCCCCGTGAGTTACATTTCAGAGGCATGGCTGTGCTTTGCCATCGGCCCTCCTTTGCTTTGTGTATCTCAGGTTTTCCCTCCGGACGAGATCGAGCAGGTTTCCAACAAGGATGACATGAAGACTTCTCTGCGGAAAGTGGTGAAGGAGGTGCGTACTGGAATTGGAGAGGGAGAGGCCCTCAGGGGAGTCGGGTTATTTCTCACTGCCGAGTTGGGCAGGTCATTGAAGGGTCTCAGACTTGGGTCTTCATGCTTTCGTGGGAGGGAGGACATGGAAGCCCCAGTGTGGGCACTGCAGGGAATCCCAGAAAGCTTTTAGCCAATGTGGGGCCTGGCCTGGGACCCAGCAGCCCTCCTGGGCTGAGGGAGTTGGGATTGGGCAACAAGTGGGGCCATCTGAGGTAGACTGACCCCACGTGGGGGCTGCAGGATCTCAGGGTAGCTCCCCACGAGAGCCAGTTCCGGAGACAGGCCGTAGCGAGTGCCCCGCCCCTGCTCTCTTGCAGACCTCCTACGAGATGATGATGCAGTGCGTGTCCCGCATGCTGGCCCACCCCCTGCATGGTGAGCTGCCCCACTGGAGACTGCAGCTCAGCCGTGGGATGCCCCCTCGTGGACTGTAGCTGGGAAGCTGTAGAATTACTGGGAAGTGGCAGTGGGGTGGGGGTATTTTATTGCAACCCCACTGAGGAGAGATTGGCCAGGAGTCCTGTCCAGAGGGTGTGGGGCTTTTCCCAGGAAGAAGAAATGGGATGCTGTGGTCATGGGGTGTGACGGGGAAGCCCAGAGGCCCTCCTCCCCTCCTGCTCCGACACAGGCCATGCTGTGCAGCGGCCACTACAGCAGGTGCCCCACAGCTGGCTGCCATGGACTTTGTGTGTATTTGTGTCATTTCACCTGTGTGTGTTTTCTTTTTCCTCAGTCATCTCAATGCGCTGCATGGTTCAGTTTGTGGGACGGGAGGCCAAGTACAGGTGGGTAATTCTTGGTGATGGGTGTGGTGTCATCACCATTCACAGTCTGCAAGGACAGGCCATGCTGGGTCAGTCTGCCCCTTTTCTGCCTTAGTTCTAATGTGCCGGCTTCAGAGGAACGTGGTACTGGCTCCCACAGTCCGTGTCCAGGGCATTTTCTCTGTATCTCTTAGTCTGGCAGCCCAGGATGAGCTTGAGTGCCCGGCAGAGGGAGTGGGTGGGAGTGGAGGTGGCTTGGAGTAGGAGTCCTGGCACCAGAGGTGAGTCTGCCGCTTAGGACTGAGCCAGGGTTCCCTCCTGGATACCTAGATTATGCCCTAATGACTTCTCCAGTTGTCATAGCACCTGGCTTACAGCTCTTTCCTCCTCTGGCCGCTTCAGTTGATTACCAAATACCTAGCATCTGCGTGCCCCGCCCCGTGTGTGGGGTGAGGGGGCATAGATAACAGCCCTTCCATGTGGCAGTTATGCCCTCCCTGCCCCTCTTCCAGGATAGGAAAATCCCAGAGGATGTGACGGGAGGACGCGCCTCTGTTACCCTTCCTCTCTGATTCTCTTTCCTGGGTTCCGTTGTTTTCTGTAGCTGTCCTGTGGGGCCACTGCCCCAGGAAGCTTGGCTGCTATGGGGCCTCATTTTGGGTTCACTAATGGGTAATCAGCCCATTCCCCAGACTGAAATGTGAGGTTGGCAGACAGGACCAGAAGTGACCAAGCCACGGTTCTGAGAAGGAAGGTAGTGGGGCCTGGTGGGGCTCGGTGCCCTGGGACCAGCACTGGCCAGGGCTTTGGCTCCCACCGTGTTTTCCTCTCCTGGGCCACCGCTGCACGGAGTAGGACAGGCCCCTTGGCAGTGTTAGCCGCAGGTCCCAGAGGTTGCTCTTGAGCCTCCTTTGCATTTCACACCTAGAAGCCCATCCTATAGGCTATGGTGACCGGGGCGCTTGCCCCCAAGCTCCTTGCTGGGGAGGGCCAGATGCCTTTTCCCAGGCTGCATCTGGGAGGTCTGGTTCCAGGACCTCCGCTGCAGGGCCCTGTGTTCCTCCCCTGCCCTCTGGGAGGCGAGTCTCCGCTGCTGTCACCATACAGGCTTCTCTGCCAACGGGTGCTCAGCCAGAGATAAACTCTAGGGCCAGGCAAGACACGTGCTCATCATAGTGCAGCACTCAGGCTGGAAGGCTTATTCCTAAATTCCAGACCCACAGAAAACTGCTTGCTAAATGCTAGGGTTCTGCCCCAGTGCTGGTAGTGTCTCTCCAGTATCTGTGAACTGGGTATGTGCCCCTTCACCTCCAAATAAGAGCTCTGTAATCTCCACTGGGTTCTGCCCGGTAATCTTCCCGCCCATCCCAGCCAGGACTTGATGGCTCTGAGCGGGTCGGGGTGGCGGGATGGGCTTCTCCAGGTGATCAGGTAACCTCTCTCCCTGTCTTGCTTTCTTCACAGCGGTGTGCTGAGCTCCATTGGGAAGATTTTCAAAGAGGAGGGGCTGCTGGGATTTTTTGTGTACGTGAGTTTATACCCCTAAAGTTGGCCATGGGCATGGCTCTATTAACAGGCTCCCTCTCAAGCCGCGGCCCCAGACTAACCCCAGGCCCTGCCCCCGCCGCGGAGCTGCACTTCCACGGCATGTGCGGGCCCGGGTCTCCTGGACTGACCCCCGACCCCGTCCGTTTGCCCAGGGCTTGGGGTGGGCATGGGGCTGGACATGACACTCCATCGTCCTTGGTTTCACTGCTGAAAAGTGACTGAAAATCTGTGACATGGACTGAGGGTCGAACACTGGCAGCCCACAGGCTGACTCCAGTGATGGCTTGTTTGACAGCATTTCTGACAGATGAGTGCTTCACCTTCAGGATGTTTCACATAACAATCCGTGTTTCTGGCTTCTCTTTAAAAGTCAGAACACCTGGCCCTGCGGCCTGCGTTTGTGCAGAGCGCCTGTCAGCAGGGCACACGTCTCCCAAGGGCCACAGACTCTGCCTCCCTTGTGTCTCACACACTCTCTTTACCTGTAAAGAAAATTCATTCCGAAAAGACTGTCCTGGTAGAATAATCCACAAACGGAACCCCCAAAGCGGGGCCTGACAAGGGTCATTTGTTTTGCCTTTTTAAGGTCTAGGCAGTGACATGGGTGTATACTAAATATAGGGCTCTCGACTGACTCACACTGTGATTTTGTAGTTGGCCAGGTGTTTTTATTTATGATCTCTCATTTAACCAAGAAACAACTCTGTGTGTGTGTGTTTCTCTTCTGGAAGTGATTTTTGCCCCCAGAGACATTGGTACTGTCTGGAGACATCTTTTGGTTGTCATAACTGATATCTAGTAAGCAGAGGTCAGCCCCCACAATGAGGTGTCGCTAGTGCCAGAGTTGAGAAACCTTGACTTCTATGCATACGCATATTTATATATGTCCACACACACATGCATATGCATGTACACATGTGTATATGTGTGAATAAATGTTTGCCTGTGTGACTGGTGAATCAGACTTTGAAACACTACTTACTCCTCACCACCTCTGGCGTTTTCCACTCATCGTGTAGTTTTATTCTGGTGTGTAAATAGCATTCCCACTGGACTACTTAGCCTTTGGGTTCTCTTTTCCTTCCCGTGGTTGTGGAATAGGCGACACACATAGATGCCACACCACTCAGAAAGCACCAAAGAGTATGTGTGGAGGGTTTGAGCACAGGTGGAAGCAACATGATTAGAAATTGCATTTACAAAGGTTTGTTTTGTTAATATCATAACAGACGTGCTGCATATAACTCTAGTGAACTTTTAAAATATTTTGAAGTAAGATTTTAAAAAATTCAGAAATCATAATTCTGCTTCCCTTCCCAAGAGATAGCTATTCTTCTGGAAATCACATTAAGTCACTGCATAGCTAAACAAGTAAATAAGCACGTTAAAAAACCCACAGGCAGCACACAGCCCCACGGACCCTCAGCACTGTATCCTAGGGGCCTCCTGTATCTGTTTGCAGAGCTGTTCATGACAAGGGCCATCACTTTCGGGTCAGTCCTTGTGAAAGCTTGCATGGAATGTCTTGCATGGAACATTCCAGGAGTGAAGACAATGGATGCATTGAGCAAAGTGTTTTGTGAGAGTCGATTAGGTATTGAGGCCAGGAGAAAACTACACACATAGGCACTCTTTCATAATCTGTATAGAAATCCCAGACTTAGCAACATTCACACTTTGAGGCCTAGCTTCTGTGGTTTGAAAACTGCTTGTGAAACCATGAACTACTCTGTGGTGTCAGTCACAGCATGTAACACCCCTGGAGGAAGGAACACTGCCTGCTGGTGTGGAGGGCCCTGGCCCCTTGGCCCTGCCTGAGATACTGGATGTGCTGAAGTTCGGAGCATGGAACATTCCTGGCTGCCTCCTGGGTGTGGAGCCCCCAGGAAATGCTCTCCTCCCTCCCGGCTTATCTTTGCTCACCTTGTTTTTTAGCGGTTTAATCCCTCACCTCCTGGGAGATGTGGTTTTCTTGTGGGGCTGTAACCTGCTGGCCCACTTCATCAATGCCTACCTGGTGGATGACAGCGTGAGTGACACCCCAGGGGGGCTGGGAAACGACCAGAATCCAGGTTCCCAGGTTGGTTGGAACAAGCACTTGTCCATCTTTCCATGTTCTGCTGATGCCTGGGGTCTGGGGCAGACTCGAGGACTCTGGGATTCTGAGCACCAGGCCCTGAGGGCTAGAGAGGGCCTCTGGGGGAGTAGTCTGAGAAGAGGACCTCTGGTTGTCCCCAGGTCAGCTTTGCCTCCACACGAAACCAGGAGGAGTTTATGGAATGCCCGTCTCTGGGCAGCTTTAGAAATCAGACCGATTCCAGCTTATCCAAGGCTGGTTTGAGCCATGACCCAGCTAGGGATCAGGAAACAGAAGACAGACCAGCTGACGACAACCCTTTGACTTCTGCTTAGCGTTTAATGCTTTCAGAACCCTTTTGATCTGGACAGTACCACAGTCCTGAAGGGAACAGGGCAGGTGTATCAACCTGTTTCACAGATAGAGAAATTGAGACCCAGAGATTGAGGGGCTCTCCAGAGGCACTTAGCTGGGAGTTGACGGGGCTGGGACAGTCTATTCCTGTGTCAGGCAGGGGGTGCTCCCCCCTTGAGGTTTTTTAAATAAGCTAGAAGGTGTACTATCCAGGAGCACCCCAGTAGTTTATTAGCCTACACAGCCTGCCATGCACAGACCTCAGCAGGTGGGGCCAGGCATGGCGAGGCCTCGGTCCTTCTAAGAGGCGCTGCTGAAGAAAGGCGTCTGGGGCCTGAGGGTTTGACTGGTTCTGCCTGAATCAAGATGAGAGTTGGGGAACAGTGAAGGCTGGGGAGTCCCTGGTAGACAGCCATTGTAACAGCAGGGATTGCCAACCCCAGGAAGGAAGGTGAGGGGTTAGGGACCGGTCTGGGTGTCATAGTCTGCATGTGTCTATATCTGGGCACGTGTGTGTGTGTACGTGTCTGTGGCGAGGAGTGTCTCGCCCCCACTGAGAGCCTCTGCTCAGAGGGAAGCCGTTGGCCTATTTGACTTGGGTCGGCGAGTCTTATTGGCCTATCAAAGTGAGCACATTCCGGCGGCTCTGTAGAGACCAGCTCCCGTCTGCAGTTCCAGGAGCCATGGCCCTGCCCTTTCCCAGGGGCCTCGTGGGTGGGGGAGCTGCTGCCGTCACAGAGAGCCAGGCTGGGACAACTGGGGTGTCTTGCGGAGGGGTAGCCCCTAACCGATTGGTTGCCTCCAGTCTGGGTGGGCAGGTGTTTGACACCAGGGGATGCTGCACTTATGTCCCCAACAACAGCAGTCAGCAGCTTCACGGAAAGTATGTTTCAAGTGCTTTTCTGTGTGTGGCTTAGGGGCTAAGGCAATGCTGCCACTCAGGCAGGGCTGAGCACGCCTGCCCAGGGGTGCGGGGCATCCACCTGGCGGGATGGCCACACCACGGAAGCTGAGGGATAGGCAGTCCCCTCTCCTGGGCAAAGTAGGCTTCAGGAGTTGGGGTCTGAAGGGGATGAGAGTTTGCTGGTGGGATGGCAGGAAGCCCAGATGTGCCCTTCCCGTTTGGCTACCGGACTAGGACTCGTGCCTGGGTAGTCCGGGTGGCTGGCCTCTATCCAGTGAGCACTCTGAGCACTGCCAGGCCTTGGATGTCGGTCGAGGCAGACACCGGCCGAGCCCTTGGCGCTCACAGCTCGGTGGAGTTACGCAGGGTGGCAGCCAGGGGTCCCACCTGCCTGCTCTTCCCGTCTGCTCCTCAGCACCGCAGCCGGGCCGCAGAAATCCCTTCCGCCTGGCCACCCCACTGTGCCTCCCAGGTCTTTAGTGGGCTCTGGGACAAGGCTATGGAAGCTGCTAGCAGGCCCTGAAGGGAACACAGGCTGCACAGGCCGTGAGAGCCAGGGTGGAGGACGGGGTGAAAGGCGCGGGCCCAGCCGCACGGGAAGGGTCTGCACGTGTGATGTCTGCAGCCTGGTGGGCCCGTGGCAAACCGGTCTCCTTCCTGTCTCTTCAGTTCAGCCAGGCCCTGGCCATCCGGAGCTACACCAAATTTGTGATGGGGGTAAGTCAAGTTGTCCACCCTTCCCACTGCCCTGTGGGCCTGGGTGGGACTTAGGAGGCCAGCAATAGTATTGGCACCGTGCGTCCCTGCTCCCTGAACTCAGGTGGGGGCTGGTTCAGGGGTCACTGACATTCAGGTCTCCCTGGGTTTCAGATTGCAGTGAGCATGCTGACCTACCCCTTCCTGCTGGTTGGCGATCTCATGGCTGTGAACAACTGTGGGTAGGTGTGGGCCCCTCCGCCAGGCACTCTGCCAGGGCTGCCGGGGGAACCCCGCTGAGCCTATCCAGCGCTCTGCCCCCTCCCTTGCCTGGCACCCTGGCTTCCTCTGGGGTTCACCGTGCCCCTTTGGGATGACTCTGGTTCAGGATATGCGTTGTGGGTCTCCTTTTCTGTGCCTGTGACCTCCCATGTTCTCTGGGTCCAACATGCTTTCCTTCCCCGGCAGGCTGCAGGCCGGGCTTCCCCCCTACTCCCCAGTGTTCAAGTCCTGGATTCACTGCTGGAAGTACCTGAGTGTGCAGGTAAGCACGCTCCCGAAGGAGGAAGCTTTCCATTCCTGCACATCGAGCCGGAGGTGTGGTTCTGTGGGCGCTTCCCTGCACGGAGAGATGGGTTGTCGTGGAGTCCCTTGTTGTGAGTGGGGAGGACAGAGAGAATGTAGACTTGGTTTCAGACATTTAAATTGACTTTTCACTTTATTTTAGGAAGGATTTGATATAGTTAGATCTGAGTTTACTTAAACATTTACATCAGAAAACGTTTCCTTTTCTTAAACTCTTAAAGACTCTTAGAACACGTATGGGGAGTCTTACTCCTTGAATAACATGGCTGGAAATGGAGCTGTGGGCTGAGACCAACTCCTTCCAGGGAGCTGGGGCGCTAGAGGCTGAGCCTTCCTGGGGACATCCCAGTGCCCAGGGGAGCCTGAGGGTTGATCTGGGCCACATGGTGAGCCTGGCGATAGGGCCAGTCTTGGGGTTTTGTGTTTTATGCCCAAGCATCTCCCTGTTGGCTGGAGCTCTTGGGCCCAGAGGTCAAGGATCCTGGTGTCCAGGCAGATCCTTGCCTTCCTAGCCGTAGTTTGCCTTGTGAGTTGGGGCAGTGGCCTGGGAGCGGCCAGTGCACTGACCAGCCTCAGGTTAAGGAGAAGACAGACAGGAGAGAAGCAGCGAGGCAAGAGACAGGTGCAGTTCTTCCCAGTGACTCCAGTCCGTTCTACGGGCATCACATCCCGTGGGCTTGGGAGGAGTCCTGGACCACTTAGCCTCTAAGCCAGAGGGCAGTGCTCCCCAGATCCCTCCAGTTTGGGGGCTGCCTACCGAGCAGTCCATCAACATTGGACACTGGGGTGAAGTGAACCGCGAACTGCCTCAGCACAGGGCAGATTGTGGCCTTGCCCTTCAGGAATGCAAGCCTAGGCCCTCCACCCGACCGGCCCTGGGCTCTCTGAGCTGCTGGCCCCTTCTTTGCCTTCCACTGGCCTTGCTCTGGGGCAGAATGTGGAAGACGTCCTCCCTTTTCACTGACCTGACTTCCTTCCAACCAGGGTCAGCTCTTCCGCGGCTCCAGCCTGCTTTTCCGCCGGGTGTCATCAGGATCGTGCTTTGCCCTGGAGTAACCTGAATCACTGAATCACGCCGGCTCAGCCTGGCCACCGTGGATGAGGCCTGAGCATCTTGGGCACTTTTAAGACGACTCCAACCCAGCAACACCTAGATGTGCTGGGGCCCAGCTGGGCTTCGGCGTCCATGTTTGCCATGTGTCTGTTCAGAAGCGGGCTTGAGTGGGGGGAGGCTGTGCCCAGTGATTGGTCACCTGTCAGACCAGGGGAAAGGGGGGCAGGGAACCAGGGCAGAACCCCCTTTCTTCACAGATGTGCCGAGTCTGCCTTGTGCAGGTCAGAGAATGGTTTGTGGAAGCCCAGGTTGGATGGGGAAAGGCTCATGGTGTCAGACCTGCCCCCACTCACAGCCCAGTCAGCCCAGCTCCCGCCCGGCAGCCCCGCTGGGGGCACGCTCTCCTGCTTGTACATAGGGCGTGATCCCCTTTCCCGAGGCCGCCGTCATGTCCAGGTCTATTGCTAGGTTCTGCCTCCGTTTTCCTCAACACTACTTTTCTGATATGAAGGCAGAACCTTCTGAATGGAAATCATGTGACCGCTCAGAATGTGTCCCCTCATCCATTGCCTATCTGTGTAATGGGGACACCTCATGTACAGGATCTTGTTACCTGTGCAGTGTGAACACCCAGAATTTAGATCAGTGTCTCTAGTCCTACCCGGTTTAAAAGCTCCTGATGAGATTTGACCCTTCCTTCCTCAAATAAATGTACTGGTGGTGATTTGGAGCTCTGTGGGGAGTCTCTCTTTTCTGTCTTGCTCGGTCCTTGGTGTTTGAGTGAGGAGGGACTGTAGAGCCACAGGGCTGGGGCAGCTTGGCCTGGGATGAGAAATTTCAGGCTCCGTGTAGATCGTCCTTGGTAGGGGGTGGTGGCTGGGGAGATAGTGGGCGGTTTTCTGAATCAGACCAGGCTAGATGCCATCCACAGACCAACAAGCGGTGTGTAGGGCTAGCACGAGGGCGGCAGTCCCTTTCAAGGCGTCCCAGCCTCATGTTCCACCCCCACTTCTGTCATCTCTGCACTGTGGGTGGCATTTGCAGTTTTTACTGAGTCATTTGGTGTAGTGGTCACATGGTCACAGCAGAAGGGGCCACTGTGGGCCCAGCTGAAGCACAAAGCCTGCCTTCTCTAGGAAGCAGAGCGCCCTCCATTCGCTTCTGTCGAACACCAGGGTCTGAAAACGCAAAACTGACAAGTGGCACATCCTGGAGACCCTGGTTTCCCATCTGGTGGGGTTTGAATGCCAGTGCGGGTCCTGCCTTCCTCCGGGTCTGTCTTTGCCCTTGTGCTAGCGTTTGGTCTGGTGCCTTGGGTCGTGCTCCTCACGGGTGTGGGCCAGGTCACTCCCAGGGAAGGCCCCGGGACGCTTTATCAGGACTGGTTTTCCCCAGTGGCCTAGTAACAGTTGCTCAAGAACAGTTTATTATGGATCCTTGTTCCCCAAGAACACACGAGGGTGCTTCAGTGGACGTCCTCTAAGTGTGCAGTGGCTGAGACCATAAGGTCTCGCACTCGCTTTCAGATAGCTGACGCAGCAGGGAGGGAAAGCACGGCTGGGTGAGCGGGCCAGGCCTTGCCAGCGTCATTGCTTAGAGACGGAAGGCCTTCCAGGGGTGAGTCTGCCTCGGGCGCGTTACCGATCTCCAGTGCAGCATGGTTTCCCACGGCGCTGACCACTGGACTGCCTGCCTGTTCCTCCACGTTGAGATCTTATTTTTACACTGATTACTTTTTATGGTCCCCCAGATTTAGAGCCACTTGCATCTCTGGACTCCTGTGCTTAGCTGGCCCTGAAGAGGCCCTCCTCTGACAGCCACCTCCTCCCCGACATTTGGAGAGGCCACCTCGAGTAAGGAGCAGGCCACAGGCGTGGCGCTGCCTTGAGGAGAACCACTGCTGTTCCCAAGGGACACCCGGGGTTTCTGAATTTCGGGTTCTTGACTACATTTCCAGCTATCTTCCACGCCCAGAAACGGCTAGAGCATATCCTTTGATACTTACTCTGTATTTTCAGTTAAGCAGAGTCCAGGTTTTACCTCTAACTTCTAAACCAAGTTTTTAGTTCAATATTCAGAGGCATGTATTGTGCATATTAAATGTGCCCTTTGTTCCCTGGTCCCCTCCGGCCTCACCTGCCCCCAGCTCCTGGCACGATTCCCGCAGTTCAGGAACTAGAATGACAAGATCCGGATCTGAGGAGACTGGGTTGGACTGGGGCAGGCGGGAAGCTGAGCTGTCCGCAAAAGGAGGGTGACGGGATTGAGAAGGCTGTGGGAAGCCAGTCACCTTCCTCCCCTCCAGGGACACTTAATTCCTTTTGGGACTCCCTGTGATAAAGCCTGAGGTGGCAGTGGAAGCCTGTGCTGGGCCCCTACTGTGGTTCCTGTCATTGTGCCAGTCCCCGCCGCCTGGGAGCCACGCACATCACTGCTGGAGCTGACTCCCCACCCTGGTACTCACGCCTGAGTGCCAGCCCCCTGCCCTCTGAACAGGCCCTTTTGTCCTCACAAGCTTCCAAAGAGGTCCCTGCTCCAGGTCTCGGGTAGATTCTCTCGTGGGACAGTTTTCCTGAGGGCTAGCCACGGGTGTTCTTTGCAGAAGGCAGGCAGAGTCCACTCAAAAACCAGGAGAGATGGGTTTGGGCCACCACAGTTTCCCTCTGCTCAGAGGCTTCCACAGTTGACCAGCTCATGGGACCCACCCCGGAGGCATCATAAGAAAACAGGCCCAAGAGGGGAGGGATTCCCTCTCAGGAACACAAGTTGAATCAGCATCTGGAAATCGACCTAATAACACTCTTATCCACAGGTAAAGAACAAAAGCCATAGACTCATCTCAATACACACAGAAAAAGTATTTCAAGATAAAAACATTCAAAAACCTAAGAGTAGAGGAGAACTTCCTCAACCTAATCAGATAACCTGATAAGGATGAAAAACCCAAAACACTGAATGGGAAAGACCCAATTTCCCCCTAAGATCAAGAACAAGAAGGAGATGTCTGCTCTTGCCACTGCTCAGTGCCCAGGAGGGACTAGCCAGGGCAGTTAGGCAAGGAAAAAATTTGGATCCAAAAGGAAGAACTGCGATTCTCTGTAGATGACATGATCTTGTATTTTAAAAAGCCTAAGGAATCCACTAAAAATGTCTCTATAGTAAGTGAATTCAGCAAAGTTATAGGATTCAAAATCAATATACAAAAGTCAGTTGTATTTCCATACACTAGCAATTGAACAACGTGAAAATGAAATTAATTTTTATAAAATAGCATCAAAAATAACAAAGTACTTCTGAACAAATTTTTTTTTATATCTTCACCCGAGTTCATTTTTGCATTTATCTTCAGATAGGAAGAGAGAGAGAGAAAGAGAGAGAGAGAGAGAGAGAGAGAGACTTTGAAAACTATAAAACATTGTTGAAAGAAATTAAAGACCTAAATGAATGGAAAACATCCCACGCTCATGGATTGGAAGATTTAATTTAGTTAAGATGGCAGTTTTCACACACCCTGTTAAAATCTCAGCTGACGGGAGGAAATGGTAAACATCTGTAGTACTCTCACAATAAAAATAAAAATAAAAAACCTAAGCTGACTTCTTTGCAGAAATTTGACAAGATTCTAAAATTAATATGGAAATTCAAGGGGCCCAGAATAGCCTAAACTTGAACAAAGTTGTAGGACTTGCCCTTCCTGAGTTCAAAACTCACTACAAAGCTACAGGAACCAAGATGGCATGGTACTGGCATAGCCAGACACAGACCAATGGAATAGGACTGAGAGTCCAGTAATAAACATTCACTTTATGGCCAACTGATTTTTGACAAGAGTAACAACAATTAGATGGGGGGAGAATAATCTTCAACAAAAGGTTCTGCGACAACTGGATATGTACATACATAAGAATGAAGTCGGAGTCCCATTTTATACCACATACAAAAATTAATGAAAATGTATCAAAGATTTAAATGTATAAAACTCTTAGAAGAAAACATAGGTATAAGTCTTTGTGACCTTGGGTTAGGCACTGGTTTCTTAGCTATAACATCAAAAAGCACAGGACTTCTGGCCAAGATGGCGGGTAGGTAACCGCGGTATCGCGTCCTCCCACAACCACATCAAAGTTACAACTAAACTACAGAACAACCATCATTCAAAACCGCCTGAAATCAAGCTGAATGGCAGTCCTACACCTACGGAATTAAAGCAGCAGCCACACCGAGACTGGTAGGAGGGGCGGAGGGGACAGGCTGGTTCCACACCCACGTGTGGCAGATAAAAATCAGGAGGACACCTCGGCTGGGAAGGTCCTCCCTGAGGACTGAGGGGTCCCCGTCCCACACCAGGCACCCCGCTCAGGGTTCCAGTGCCAGGAAGAGAATCCCCATCACTTCTGGCTGGAAAAACCAGCGGGAACTGAGGCTCAGGGAGGCTGAAGCGGCTGGAGCCCCAGGCAGCTCCTTAAAGGGCCCGCGCACGGACTTATCGGACTCTCTCCCTCTGAGCTTGGAGGGGAGGCAGCTCGAGGGGCGCCAGAGACATACAGGGAAGAACTGAGCTGTTTGGCACTGGAGCGAGGGCTGGAGAGGGGGCTTTCTCTGGCACAGATGTGCTGTCAGAGGCCTTTGTTCCTTTGGTGAGCCCTTCCCTGGGGTGGCAGACAGCCGCCACATCTGGGACTCCAGCAACCTGGCTCACACTGGTAGCCCCGCCCTGGTGATTCCCTGAGGCCCCGCCCCACCCAACTTTCAGGCCCACCCAAGCTGTTGCCACTTGCTTAACCATAGGTTTGGCCTGTCTTGGATCCTGCTTCAGGTTTTTTCTAAATTCTTTCAAACGAGCAGCATCTGGTCTCAGCTAACCCCATACCTCTCGTTAAGTAATACACAGAAACAAACACAGGGAGGCAGCCAAAATGAGGAGACAAAGAAACAGGTCCTAAATGAAAGAACAGAACAAAACCCCAGGAAAAGAACTAAGCGAAATGGAGATAAGCAACCTAACAGATGCTGAGTTCAAAATACTGCTTATAAGGATGCTCAATGAACTTAGTGAGAACCTCAGCGAACTACTGAGGGCCTCAAGAGCATAAAAAAGGACCAGTCAGAAATCATGGATGCACAGTTAGAAACAAAGGAGGCTTTAACTGAAATAAAGAATAATTTACATAGCCTCAATAATAGAGTACGTAAATCCAAGGAGCAAACCATCGATTTGGAATATAAGGAAGCAATAAACACCCAATCAGAACAGCAAAAAGAAAAAAGAATCCAAAAAAATGAGGCTAGTGTAAGGAGCCTCTGGGGCAACTTCAAGCGTGCCAACATTCGCATCTTGGGGGTGCCAGAAGGAGAAGAGAGAGAACAAGAAATCGAAAACCTGTTTGAAACAATAATGGCAGAAAACTTTCCTAACTTGGTGAAGGAAACAGACATACAAGTCCAGGAAGCACAGAGAGTCCCAAACAAGATGAACCCCAAGAGGCCCACACCAAGACACATCATCATCAAAATGCAAAAGGTTCAAGACAAAGAGAGAATCTTAAAAGCAGCAAGAGAAAGGCAGCTAGTTACCTACAAGGGAGTTCCCATAAGGCTGTCAGCTGATTTCTCAAAAGAAACTTTGCAGGCCAGAAGAGAGTGGCAAGAAATATTCAGAGTGATGAAAAGCAAGAACCTACAACCAAGATTACTCTATCCTGCAAAGCTGTCATTTAGAATCGATGGCCATATAAAGACTTTCCCAGACAAGAAAAAGTTAAAAGAGTTCATCACCACCAAACCATTATTATATGAAATGATGGAGGGTCTTTTTGAAGAAAAAGATAAAATATATGAACAAACAAAATGGCAATGAATACATAGCTATCAACAATGGAATCTACAAATAAAATGATCAGGTAGAACAGAAACATTCTCATAGATACAGAGAACATTTTGTTGGTTGCCAGTTGGGAGGGGGTTTGGGGGAATGGGTGAAAAAGGTGAAGAGATTAAGAAGTACAAATTCATTGCTAGACTGACAAACCTCAAAGGGAAAGGGGTTGGGGGGATGGGAAGAAATAAACCAAAGAACTTATATGCATAACCAATGGACACAGACAATAGTGTGGGAAAAGGCGGGATGGGGGTGGGAGTGGGGAGGAGCGGGTCAATGGGGGAAAAATGTGGAACATCTGTAAAACATTCTACATTCAACAATAAAGATTTAAAAAAAAAAAATCAAAAAGCACAAACAACCAAAAACTAATAAATTGGATATTGTCAAAATTTAAAACTTTTGTGTTCAAAGGATATCATCAACAAAAATTGAAAAGACAACCCACAGCCCTGGCCGGTTTGGCTCATCAGTTAGTGTCAGCCCATGGTATGTATGTGGGTTGTAGGTTCAATGGGGTCACGCAGGAGGCAACCAATTCATGTGTCTCTCACATCAATGTTTCTCCCTCTTTCCCTCTCTTACATTCTATCTAAAAATCAATGAAAAAATATCCTCTGATGAAGATCAACAAAAAATTATAAAAAATTTTAAAAATTTAAATAATAAAGAAAGAAAAAACCCACAGAAGGAGAGAAAATATTTGATAAGGAGAGAAAATATATCTCAGGGGCTTGTATCTAGAACATAGGAAGAACTCCTACCACTCAATAATAAAAAGACAAATACCGCCCTGGCTGGTTTGGCTCAGCGGTTAGAGCATCGGCCTGTGGTCCTGAGAGACCCGGGTTCAGTTCCCGCTAAGGGCGCGTACCTCGGTTGCAGTTTGTCCCCGGCCCTGGTCGGTTGTGCGGGTGGCAGCCACTCCATTCCTTTCACATCGATGTTTCTCTCTCTCTCTCTGTTCCTCTCTCCCCCTCCCACTCTACCTGAACAAAAAGTGGAAAAATGTCCTCGGGTGAGGATAAAAAAAAAAAAGACAAATACATACCCCCAATTTTTAAAAAGGGTCAAAAGATGAATACACTTTCCAGTGAGCACATGGGAAGATACTCAACATCATTAGTCATCAGGGAAATGAAAATCAAAACCACAACGAGATATTTCACACTCGTTAGGATGGCTATAATAAAAAAGATAGATAATGACAAGTGTTGGTTAAGATGTGGAGAAATTAAAACTCTAATACATTGCTGGTACAAATGTAAAATTGTGCAACTACTTTGGAAAATAGTCTGGCAGTTCCTCAAAAGGTTAAACATATCCTCAAAAAATTAAAAATAGAACTATGTGATCCAGCAATTACACTGCTGGGAATGTATCAAAATGAAATGAAAACACTAACTTGAAGAGATATTTGCATTATTTTACAAGAGCCAAGAAATGGAAACACTCTGAGTGTGCACCCATAGATGAGTGGATAAAGGAGTTGTGGTATATATATACAATGGAATACTATTCAGCCATAAACATGAGGTAATCCTACCATTTGCAACAACGTGGGTGGACCTGAAGGCAGTATGCTAAGTGAAATAAGTCAGGGAAAGACAAATGCTGTGTGATCTTACTTAAATGTGGAATTAAAACCAAAAAACAAATAGAAGAAGATAAAGCTTCTGGTTACCAAGCAGAGGGTGAGGGGAGAGGAAATCAGAGGAAGGTGGTCAAAAGTTACAAACTTCTAAGACAGGTAACGGGTGCAATGCACAACATGTTTACCATAGCTAACACAGCTGTAGGTAGGTATATGGGAAAGTTATTAACAGAATGAACTCTAAGAATTCTTATCACAAGGAGAAATTTTTTTCTTTCCTATTTATATGAGAAGAGGGCTGTTAGCTAAAAGTATTGTGGTGATCGATCACTTCACAATATATGTAAATCAAACCATCATGCTGTATGCCTTAAATTTATACAGAGATGTATTTCAGTATTTCTCAATAAAACGGGGGGCAGCCCTGGCCGGTTTGGCTCAGCGGTTAGAGCACCGGCCTGCGGTCTGGAGAGACCCGGGTTCAGTTCCCGCTAAGGGCATGTACCTTGGTTGCAGTCTGTCCCCGGCCCTGGTTGGTTGTGCGGGTGGCGACCACTCGAAGTGTCCCTTTCACATCGATGTTTCTCTCTTTCTCTGTTCCTCTCTCTCCCTCCCACTCTACCTGAACAAAAAATGGAGAAAGGTCCTCGGGTGAGGATGATAAAAAAAAAAACGGGGGGCAAGTTAAACACAAGCATTACCATATGATCCAGAGTTACCACATGATACCACTTTTAGGTATATAGCCAAGAGAAATGAAAACATGTCCACACACAAACTTTTACATGAATGTTTATAGTAGTAGTATTACAACAGCCAAAAAGTGGATACAACTGAAATGTCCACCACCTGAGGAATGGATAAATAAAATATATTTCATACAATGAACTATTACTTGGTAATAAAAAAGAACAAACTACTGCTCTATTCTACAACATGGATGAACCTTGAAAACAGTATGCTAAGTGAAAAAAGTCAGACACAAAAAGCCACATATTGTGACTTTATTTATACAAAATGCCCAGAAGAGACAATAGTTCAGTGGTGGTTTAGGGTTGGGGGTAGTTGGAGGGAAAAGGGAAGTGACTCATAATGGATATTGGGTTTCTTGTCAGGGTGACGAAAATGTTTTATAATTTGCCATGGTGATGGCTGCACACTTAAAACCATTGAGTGGTACAATTTAAATGTGTAATTTTATATTATGTGACATATCTTAATAGAGATACATTATATCATATTATACATATATGGAAGGCACACATCCCTGGCCTGACTTTGGCCTGGAGACAGTTGCTCCGCCCCTCACCAACCTCAGCTTGGTCCCAAGTTGCCCTCAGTTGTTTACTACTGCTGACCACACACACGCACACACACACCGCTTCTGGACAATTCCGTTGTGCTGTCTGGGACTCCAGAACCTTTCTCAGGACTCCTCCAATCTCTAAGGGTTGGCATGAGCTACATATCTGACACTGTGTCCCAGGTGGGCCTGGGTAGCAGCACCCCAGTGAAGAGGTTGCATGCCACTCCTTGAGCCTGGGCACCAAACCCAACTAGGCCCCACTGGTGACTCCTGAGCTGAGAGAGTCAGCCCAGCACCCTTGGCCCTTCCTTGGCCCTTTACCCTCCCTGTCAGCAACCTGAAGATTTTGGGGGGGGTGTTATATGAATGGAAGGAAGGGCCCCCAAAGAACTAAATGAAGTATTTGAGGACGGAGGGGTGTGAGAGAAGGAACAGGTGCCACAGGTTGGTGGGGGAAGTGTCGAGCTTCATCAGGGCTGCCCACCCCTCGCAATCATGGAGACTGGGTACTCTTACACAGGCGCTTATTCAGGAGTCAGGGAGCTGCTTCCCTCCCCTGGTCTCTGCCTGCCCCACCCCTAGAACCCCACCAGGTGGGGCTTGTCCGTCTGCCCCTCACACCCACCCCAGCCCTGCCAGTTACACAGTGAGTAGGGAGAGGAAGGTCACTCAGGGAGAACCCTCTACCTTGCATAGGCAGCTGGCCCCAGGCCAGGCAGCAGGGATCTCCCCAGAATCCCCCACCCCGAACTGCCATAGGAGGGGCAGGAGAGGTCCGGGCCAAATATGCAGTCAACCGGTGGCAACCTGAGCTGGCCACCCAGACCAAGATGTCTGGGAAAGACATATGCCCTGCAGCCTTTTCCTTCCAGGGCCTTCAGCCCAAGAAGCGTCTAATCTGGGAGGCCAGAGACAGGGTTGGGGAGATGGCAGAAGGACAGCTAACCCTCACCCTGGGAAGGCAGGAGGCACACCCGGGAACAGCCTGGGACTCAGATGCCTCAAGATGCCAGGAGACTGGGAGATGCCGAGGGGCTCCTGGGAAGCCCTGAGATATTCTGTCCCTAAAAGAACAGGAGCACGGCCACAGGATCACTACTCAGTCTGCAGTCGCTGAGGGGTGGACCAGCCCAGAAGCAGAGGTACTTCTGGGACAGTGCCAGCGATTGGCACAGGCCTGGAGTCTGGCCAGAAGCTGGGGGGAAGGGGGCTGCTGGGCCACAGAACAGGACCTGCCCAGGAAGCTGTGACCTCTCACTTGGAAAAAGACAATCCAGAGTGGGCATGAGGCCAGGGTCCCCCCACCAGGCCTTGCCTTTGAACGGTGACCCCTTCAGAAGATTCCAGCCAACACCAGGGAAGGCAGTAGCAGCAGACACAGGAGAGGGCCCCCAATGTGACCAGGGCCCGAGCTCAGCCCTGAATGGATTTCAGGCTTTTCAAGGGCCTCTGCACCTATAGGAAGGGAGAGGGTTTGCCTTAGCCTGGAGACAGCTCTGCCAGACCTCCCACCCACGCTCCAGCATGCAAGTGGGGGCGCAGCAGCCAGGGAGGAAGCTTCTCCTAGTCAGAGGTAATGCCCCTCATGCCTATACCACCTATACTGGGGACAGAATGCTGACAATCTGGAGTCAGAAGGGAAGGTAGGACGGACACTACAGGCCTTACCTTGCAAGGACAACTGCCGGGCCAGTGTTCGTCCACCCATGGCTTTAGCGGTGGCGGGTGTACTGGGAAGATTGGGCAGGGACGCGGGGAAGGTGTGCCCCATACGGTCCAGTGTGGGCTGCAGCTCACCTGGCTCATCCTGGGCTGGAAAAACTGAGGCCAAGACCTTACTGGAAGAAGGCAACTTGGCCTCAGCCTCACCCTCCTCCTGGGAGTGGGGCAGCGGCTCTTGATTCCCTGTTAGGGACACCTTGAGGTGCGGAGAAATCTCTGGGCTCCTGGAGGGCATGCTTGTCTTGCTGGCCTCTCTGTCTCCCGATTTTAGGATGGGATCATGGGTGGATTTGGGGGAGGTAGTTGGCTCCTCATCCAAGAACAGACTGTAAGTTTGCAAATACAAAGGTACCTCAGTTGTTAATGAAAGTGGAGTCTCGGTTGCCACGGAGGGGGGGCCTTCCGTTGCTAAGGCAGATGGGGCCTTGGACTCTACATCGGGTAGAGCCTTGGTTGCCAGGAAGTCTGAGACCTCTGTGACCATCATGAAGGATAGAATTTCTGTTGTTAGGGAAGAAGAGACACCCTCTTTCCTAGAGCCTGAGGCTTCAGTCGCCAGGGAAGACGGGGTCTCGGTTACCAGGTGTGGCAACTCCGGAGCCTCCTCTGGGCCTTTGATGGGTTCTGCTAAGAGAGACAAGGCCTGGCATTAGTGCTTCAAGCAGGACCTCATACCCCTCACCCCATCGCAATCAAGGTGAGGTGTCCAAATGCCCTACAAAGACACACACACACACACACACACACACCCTCTCCAGTGAATATGTCCCTCAATGATAGTAAATGTTACTTCTTGTGATTGACACGGTGGCTCCTAAATCCACCTCCATGTCCAAGTCTTCCTCTCTCTGCACTCGCACTTCCAGCTTTTCTGGGGACTTCAGCTGGATTCCAGTTCTGAACACGCCCTTTCGTGTCCCTCTGACCACGCCCACCTCGCCCGGTGCTCGGGAGCCGCGGGCCTCCGTTACCCTCTGTTTGGAGGGTTGAAATCCGGGCACTTGGCATGACAGACAGGGCGCCAAAGTGGCTGAGCAAGGACAAAATGGGCTTGGAACCCAGATGGCATGGGACAGCCGGGGCCTCTGGAAGTCACCTCCCGCTGGGCCCTTGCCCTGTCCACGGGCCACTCAGGAGCTGCAGGAGGCTCCAACCAACCGATCGGGAGTCCCTTCCTCTGCTGCCTCTCCCTCCCCAGCCCACCACTACTCACCGCAGAGAGAGTTCTCGCATTGGTAGCCGGAGGGACACTGAGAACACGGAGTCCCCTCCTGGTAGGGCCTCTGCCCCTTCACGTTCCCCCTGCAGGAGGCGAGGAGGATGCTGGGAGTTGGGGTTCTCTGGCAACTCCTGACCAAACGTGTCCCTGGCTCTTACTTGCCCCCAACGAACTTGCTGGGCCAGAGTGCAGAATCCTATCGGTGCCCTCACAGCTGCCCCGACGGTATGGGCATACAATCCAGATGATCCCCCACCGACATCCTTAGACTGTGTCCACCCCAGCCTTCCCCTTGGCTCTGCCCACCCTTCAGGCTCCCTCGGACTCACGGGGGCTCATAGTTGCAAACCAGTAAATGGATATTGGTCTCCTCAACGCCCTGGAGCTTCTCACAGAAGTGGGAGCCACAGCCAATCTTCTCTGTCTTGGCCCAGACCACCTGAAGGAGGGCAAAGCCAACAGTTTAGCGTGGGTGGGATGGCCCCTAGCTAGTGTCTCTGTACCAGCCTTGTGCAGTTGGGGAGAAGAGCAATCGCTATAGTCTGTAAGATCCAAGCCCCTGAAGACATGCCATTTAAGGACAAAACTGAACAGGTGCTTGGGGTTGGGAAGTAGTCTGTCCTGAACTACTCTCCCCTACCAACCACTATTTCACCAGGCCTCTCTTCCTCTGAAACCTTTCCTTTTGATAGACCCTCATGAATTCTTCCTGTGGGCTGTTCGTAGAGGCTCTGGCATTTTTTTAAAGTTTATTTATTATTATTATTATTTTTTTAATCCTCACCCAAGGATATTTTTCTATTTATCTTCAGATAGAGTGGGAAGGAGAGAGAGGGAGAGAAAGGGAGAGAGAGAGAGAGAAACATCGACGTGAGAGGGACACATTGACTGGTTGCCTCCCACATGACCTTGACCAGGGCCGGGGATGAACCTCAACCGAGGTACGTGCCCTTGATTAGAATTAAAGCCGTGACTTACTGGTCCGTAGGTTGATGCTCTATCGCTGAGCCAAACTGGCCAGGGCTTAAGTTTATTTTTTATTTATTTTTTTATTTTAGATAGATTGGAAGGGAAGGAGGGAGAAAGGGGTGGGGGAGAGAGAGAGAGAGAGAGAGAGAGAGAGAGAGAGAGAAGCATTGATGTGAGAGAGACACATCGATTGGTTGCCACCTACATGACCCCGACTGGGGCCAGGGAAACCTGCAACCCAGGTACGTGCCCTTGACTGTAAATCCAACCAATGACAGTTTGGTCCTCAGGTAGACGTCTAACCACTGAACCAAACCAGCAGTGAATGTACCCTTGCATTTTAAATAATGGTACATTCAAAGGCATTAGTCTCAAATGCCAGAATCTTAAACTCAGCAACAAGCAAAATCCGAGGAAGGGAGCAGGAGAAGCCATTTTGGACGTGGGACTTTCCCCAAATCACAAGTAAGCAGGGACCTGCTCTGCCTTCTCTAAGTGTGGGTTGCCTAGCTGCTAGAAGGAGTCCTGTCTTAAGTATAAAATTTAAAAAGTCAAAACAGCCCTGGTCAGTTTGGTTCAGTGGTTAGAGTGTTGGCCCGAGGATCGAAGGGTCTCGGGTTTGATTCCTGGTCAAGGACACATACCTGGGTTGCAGGTTGATCTGTGGCCCTGGTCGGGGTTGTGTGGGAGGCAACCAATCGATGTATCTTTTTCACATCAATGCTTCTCTTTCTCTCCCCCTCCCTTCCCTTTATCTAAAAAAGTCAATGGAGGGGGTGGCCTGGCCTCCTGGGGGTGGGGTGGGCTCCAGAGAGCACAGTGCTTCAGGAGGGGCGACTAGTGAGCCACCTCATGTTAAATGGAGCGGCCTGCCCGCCCGCCCCGAGCCGCAGGTGCTAAGAGGGCGAAGTGAGATTAGGGGGCACCTGCTGTGCGGGATGGGCCTTGTCCACACCACCCTATAGCCTCCCCCACCCCCGCCAGAGTGCAACCTTTAACCAGTCGGCCTGGAGTCACCTGAAGTACTAGTGAGGTAACCAACCTGACAGACCCCTTCCGTGCCTCTTGGGAGGGTGACCTTGCCTCAAACAGTGTGTTCTTAGTTAATAGTTCCCTTTTCCTACCCTTTCCTGCCTTTAAAAACCTTTCCTTCTCTGCAGCTGGGCTGAGCTCCGTTCTATGTGCTAGATGGGATGAATCAGTGAATAAAGCCAATTAGATCTTCTAAAAAAATAAAAATTAAACCAATGGACATGGACGACAAAGCCGGGGACAGGGTGGGGGGGATGGGGAGGAGGGTGTCAATGGGGTAAAAAAGGAGAAACATCTGTAACAAAAATAAAATTTAAATAAAAGTAAAAAAAATTAAAATTAAAAAATTAATGGAAAAATATCCTCAGGTGAGGATTAACAACAATAAAAAGTTAAACCAATATTTGTGCACCCACGGGCTGAGACCAGCAACCCCCCGTGCTGTTTCTAGGCCCACTCTGCCCAGGAGTCATGCAAACAGGCCAGATTTTGCCGTGAGATCTGCTCTGGCTGTTAATTCTGTACACCCTCCCAGGATCGGGATGTTTCTGCTTAAATCAGCTGAAGGTCCCCCAGTTCCTACTGCTGAGCATCTCCCAGGCAGAAATGTGTGCTCAGCCCTAGAGAAGTTTGGGGTGGAGGTGGGGCAGACTCGCTCCTGCCTGGCACTGAAAGCAATCCCTACAGAGGATGGGGGTGGGGCGAGGAGTGTGAGGGGTGGCAGGGTGCAGAAGGAGGGCGTCTGCACCCTCACAACTTCCTGATCTAGGTGGGTGATGTTGGGATTTCCTGCCCTAAAGATTAGCACTAAAAATACCACTCACATGAGGCACTGGAACATAAAATTGGTGGATATGGGTGGGAAGATGGTTGGTCTATTTTTGTCTTTTTATTTTTATTTTTTAATCCTCATAGGAGGATATTTTTCCATTTATCTTCAGATAGAGTCGGGGGGAGAAAGAGAGCAAGTAAGAAAGAGAAACATCGACATGAGAGAGACACATTGATTGGTTGCCTCCTGCATGACCCGGACCAGGGCCAGGGACCAAACTGGAACCAAGGCATGTGCTCTTGACCGGAATCGAACCCATGACTCTTTGGTCTGCAGGCTGACACTCCAACAGCTGAGCCAAACTGGCCAAGGTTTAAATATGTTTTTATTGATTTTTACAGACGGGGAAGAGAGAGAGAGAGAAACATCCATGTGAGAGAGAAACATGGATTGGCTGCCTCCTGTATGCCCCCTACTGGGGATCAAGCTCGAAACCTGGGCATGTGCTCTGACTAGGAATCAAACCCGGACCTCTCACCCTGACCAATTTGGCTCAGCGGTAGAGCGTCAGCCCGCAGACTGATGAGTCATGGGTTCGATTCTGGCTAAGGACATGTATCTCGGTTGCGGTTTGTCCCGGCCCTGGTCGGGGTGGTGTGGGAGGCAACCAGTCGATGTGTCCCTCTCACATCGATGTTTCTCTCTCTCTTTCTCTCCTCTCTCTCTCTCTTCCTCCCACTTTATCTGAACAAAGATGAAAAAATGTCCTTGTATGAGGATTAAAAACAAAAACAAAACCAGGACCTCTCAGTCCATGGGAGGATGCTCAATCCACTGGGCCACACCCAACGGGCTATTTTTGTCTGTTCAAAAAACTTGTCTTTGTGTCACTGTTGAACAACAAATAAGCATTGGGAGGAGGAAAAAAATAATTCAGAAACACTAATGTTAACACACACACACACACACACACACACACACACCCGCCACACACACTCACCACGGATACCCTTACACCTCTTATCTGCAAACCCAAACTTTCAAAGTGCAGTGAGCATCCCCATATAAGCACAAAGTGACTGTGGGAGGCAGGACATGCACTCAGAAGGCTCCCTGAAACCTTCCCTTGTGACAATTTGCTCTTATTTATGCATAGTTTTTCAAAGCAAAAGAAACATTAAACAAACAAAATGGTCTATTTGCTTTATTTGTCCTTGGCAGTATAGAAGCAGCAACTTAGACACCATGAGAAATAACAAAAGAGGGACAGTGAGAGAGAAGTCAGAGGCGGACGGGAGGGGGGCACTGACTGCTGGGGCAAAAGCTCTGAGCGTAATTTAAGCCAGAGCTCGGTCAGGGTCGGCTCCTACAGTAGTCATCCTGCAGGAAACCTCACTTAGGTCTCTTCAGTACCAGGAGGCAGAGAGGGGCTGCCTAGGTTTTCAAATAGTGGATTTTTTAAAAGAGTGAACTGAAAATGTTGTCAGTTTGAGAAGCAGACTTCATCAGAGGCCTAGACAACCATTAATAGCTGGGGAAAGACACCCGGACGGTGTGGCTCAGTGGCTGAGTGTCGACCGATGCACCAGGAGGTCCCGGATTCCCGGTCAGGGCACATGCCAGGTTGTGGGCCCAATCCCCAGTGGGGGGCATGCAGGAGGCGGCCAGTCCAAGTTCTCTCTCACTGATGTTTCTATCCCTCCCTCTTCCTCTCCCTCTTTAAAATCAATAAAGAAAACAAAATGGGACAGGTGGCCCCGCCCCGCCCACTGCCCGTGCTGCCCCGCCCACCGCACCTGCGTGTAGTGGCCGCACATCTGGCCCGGGTCGCAGGTGGCGGCGCTGAGGTTGTAGTGCTCGCGCTCCAGGTGCCACTCCTCCACCGCCAGCGGCACGTCCACGCCCTCGTCCGTGATGGCGAACAGGTTCTCCCCGCGCCGCCCGCGCTCCTTGTTGTGGCCCCACACGCACTGCTGAGCGTAGGCCTTGGCGAAGGCCGCCAGCTCCTCGTCCCACCGCTGCGGGGAGGAAGGCGAGGACACCTCTGGCTCAGTGAAGGCGGAAGGGGGAGGACACCACAGACACTGACACGGAAGGTTGAGGATGTCCTGGGACCCCTGGAGACCAGACACCCTCCCTGGTTGGCTGGGTGACGCCTGGCTATGATCTGGGAAGGTCTCTGCTGCCAGGGGCCTTCTGTGAAGAGGTGGGAGGGTGCCCCCCAGGCCCGAGTAGCCGGTTGGGACCATGCACCAGCTGTGTGATTTTGGAGAGATTGCCTAACCTTTCTGAATTCTCATAGGATGTGTTGGGAGAAGGAAATGAGATGGTGTATGTGACAATGTTCGTATTCATTAATATCAATATCCCAAGTGCAAGGTGGGCAGCGGTGCCCCCACCGACCTCCGAGGGCTGTCTGAACTGCTCCGAAGACCAGAGATGTCCAGTGAGCTGCTGGGTTGTTTGTTCAGCCACTGCCCTCCCCCTCCCGCCTGAACATACACTGAGTGGGGCCAGCACTGTCCTCCCAGCGCCCACCCTCCCTCGGGACAGCCCGGCCTCCCTCCGAGGCTCCGCCAGCTGCAAGCTTCCCTCCTGAGGGCTGTTCCCGCGCCCTCAACTCTTGTCAACTGACCACCCTTCTCCAAGAAAATTAATGTCTCCGCATGACTCTTACTGAGAGGCTTCTTTTCAGGGCCCTGGTGGCCCAAAGAGCTGTCCACCCTTAAGGCAGCGTCCTTCAGTGGGCACCTCAGGTGTGACAACAGGAGGACAGCATTTGAGGTTACGGAGCCTCTGAGGTTCTGTGTGCCTGGCTGGGGGACAGGCTCCCTGTGGGTGGGAAGGGGGATTAACAAGGCATCTGACCAAAGGGTTGAGGAGGGAGGCCTGGAACCCATTAAACTTTGTCCTGGCCTCTCCTGGAAACAGATTGCCTGGCTGAAACTCGTGCCCCACCCTCTGGGGACCCATCCAGCTGTGGGAGCCAGGCAGCCCATAAAGCACCAAGAGCTGGGGGGAGCCTGGGGGGAGGGGGCTGTGTCCACACCCACTGCCCATGCACACACGGTTCTCAGTAGCAGCTGCCTGGAGTGGATGGGAGCACTGGGCTGGGCGGCCCCGCTGCTGTGACTTCGGGTGAATCTCTTTCCCTCTCTGGGTGTTTTTTTGTCCCAAATTACTGGTCCCTGAGGTTCCCTCAAACTCTGGCGGTAGTGGGCAGTGGGAAGTGGTAAAGGGCAAGGTGCTGGGATGACCTGCTGGACTCTAGACTAGACCTGGCTCCTCAGGGTGAGGCGGTGGTGCATCCCCACGGTCTGGCACAGGGTTGGCACACCGCAGGTGCTCGACAGATGTGTGCCGACTGTTGATGCCCGAGACAGGGCCCTCCTTAAAGCAATCCCCCCTGCAGGGCCCCGCTGTCGTTTCCGTTCTGACTGGAACCTGGAGTCCCATCATGCGAGTCTGCTTTGGGTCCTGAGGCTTCTCAGTGGTCCAGGGACCCTGGGGAGTTGCAGGAGTCACGGCACCTACATTGGCCACATGGTCACCGTGTGAAAACAAGTCCGTTCATTCACTCACTCACTAACTCATTCATTCATTCAACAGTCTTGGGCACCATGCCAGCCCTGTGGCAACAACAGGGATCAGGAAGCCCCAGTTCACATTGTCATAAGCCATTAATTGGGCCGCCATGGGGTAAATGATAGATATACAATGGGTAGTATAGAGGCACCAAAGAGGGCCATGTAGCCCAACCTGGAGCTGGAGAAGGAGACGGTGAGCTCAGTGTTCAAAGCTGAGGCCGTGGCCAGGTGCAGAGGGAAGCCGGTCCCGAGCAGAAGGTGGCGCATGAGCAAGGGCGTGGAGGTGAGAAGCAGTGTTTGGCTGGGGAGAGACGAGCAGTTCAGGTCACTGAGGAGAAAGTGGGCAGGAGAGGACGCTAGAGACACACAGAGAACCTTCTCCGGAGGGGGAGCTTTAGCCTGAGGCACTAGGGAGCCGGTGGGAGCCAGTGAAGGGTTTCGAGCAGGGTCAGGCCTCTGCTGGCTCATTCATTCTGGTATAGAGGCCAGAGGCGGAGGAAGCAGGTTGAGGCTGTTCTAGGAGTCCTTGGGAGAAGAAATGAAAGACTGAACCAGGCTTGTGCCAAAGAGATGTGGCGGTGGGGGTTAGGATTCAAGGAAAACAGAACCTTCTGGGAGGTAAAAGTGGTGATGATTAGACATGGAGGCTGAGCGAGAGAGGAGTCCACGGTCACCCTCACCTGCCCCACCCAGGACCCCTTCCCTTTTGTTAATCAAACACGTAGTGAGCACTTACTAAGTGTCAGGCACTGTTCTAAGTGCTTTACACACATTCACTCATTTAATCCTTACAACCACCCTACAAGGGAGTTGTTACATTGTTATCCCCAATTTACAGACGAGGAAGTTGAGGCACAGAGAGTTAAGTAACTTGGCTGAGGTCACACAGCTAATAAATGGCAAAGATAAGATTTGAACCCGGGCCATCAGGTCGCAGAGTCTCTGCAGACACCGTTGCTGAGGCTGCACCTGAGCCTTGTTCCCAGGGGCACCCGCTGCGTATCCCCTCAATGCCCGAACTGCTTCCCAGAAGGTTGACCCCCTGAGGCCCATCTCTACAGAGGCAAAGCAGCTCGCAGCCTGGGTAGCCCCCACCCTCAGCCAGCATGGCTGTAGGGCATTAAGGATCTACAGATGGGGAAACTGAGGCCCAGAGATGAGTTCCAGGCCTCGACCAGGGAGCTGCTGGCAGAGCTGGTCCTGCCGCCCTGATCTGAGTCTGCAGTCCCTGGTTGCCCTGGCCAGCGGGGCTTGAGCCGCCGTGATGTGTGTCTGGAGACCACTCCAGACCTTTCTCGGGCGTCATCCTGTCTGACCCTCAGGGCAGGGTGGCCAGCGCATGATAGATCTGGAAACAGGGGCCTTTGACTGTCAAGGGGCCACCAGAGTCACTGCGCCAGATTAGACATGCTGTCCCGACTTCGGTCTTGGACCTCAGGCTCGCTCCTGTGTCCCCAGATGCGACGCTGTTTTCGGGCCCCAGTCATGCTCCCAGGACACTGCCCACCACCCTCCAGGCCACTTGAGGGTGCTGGAAGGGATGGGCCAGCCTAGCTCCAGGGAGGACAGGAAGGGGGTGAACTCACTTTCTCTCTTTTAATCCTGACCATACATGTCCTGCCCCTAACAGTGCCATCAGATAACTCTCCCTGACAGGGGACCCCCCCCCAACCTGGCTTCAGTCATCTGTAGGCGTGTCCATGTGTGTTTACTACATCGGCATGTTTCACCGCCTGTATACAATAGTATTTTTTACATTTTTAAACTTCATGTAAATATATCCTAATATATATATATACATTTGAGATTTCATTTTTACTCCCACTCTTTTATATCTATGAGATTCAGTTCATGTTGATAGATCTGTAACTCCAGTTATGACCTCATTTTACAGATAGAAACTGAGGGTCCTTATTGGTTAAGGGTCTCACCCAAAGTCACGCGTCTAGCAGGTGGCCAGGACAGATGTGAGCGGTGTGACCTAGAGTCCTCTCTGCCTCTGCTCAGCCCCCCTCAGTACCTCCTCCCCAGGTGCCTGGACCCATCCTGCTGCCCCGTTTCCTCTTCTCGTCTCCTTGGAAGGCACCTGAAAGACGTGTCCCCAAGGTGTCCCCCCCAGGGGCACATGCACTTTAGGAGTGCTGGGAAGTGGGCACCGAAGTGGGAAGCTGGGCACCCGGCCCGGCTGTATCAGCTAGTGGTCTGCTGCCCCTGAAGGGCCAGCCTGCCTCTCTGAGCCTGCTGCCTCATCTGCATAATGGGGCTGCTTACGGGGACCTGTGAATCATGACTTCAGAGACTCTGTCACTGACCCGAGGGGCAGTCTCTGAGACAGCTTCAGCTTGGGGGTGGGGGAGATTGGTGAGGGGCCCTACCCAGTAGCCCTTCCATCCCGGCAGGTGAGTGCCTCTGGCCGTACTCACCATTTGCAGCATGTTGGCGGCCGATGGGGACACCTGGGCACGGTAGAAGTTGTGCAGCTCCACCATCACACGTCTCTCGTCGTCACTGAGGGCTCTGGCGGGGCCGGTGGTGGCCACCAGGAAGAGCAGCGGCGGCAGGAGCGCCAGGAGACCGCGGGAGCTGTGCATGGTGACCACCCCCCTCTGCTTCTCCCATCCAGGGGTCTGGCAGCAGGATTTAAAGTCTCTCCCACACAAGCACCACCCTGGCTGGGGCGGCGGGAGGGGCTGTCTGGAGGCGAAGCCCAGCTCACACATATCTCGGGGAGGGCTGGGTGCTTGGGTCCCGACCAGAGCTGAGTTCACTCCCAGCAATGAACTCCCCTCAGAGTCCTTGGCAACGGCCTCCTTTCTCTCAGCAACGGGGCTCAGGCCAACAGCCCTGTGAGTGTCACAGTCCCTCCCGAGCTGTGGACAGGTCCTCAAGGGGCAAAAGCACAGTAACCTCTGCAGAGGTCACACCCACTGGGTGCTGAGGACAGAGGAAGGAAATCACGGGGACCCCATCCCCAGCGGACTGGACAAGAGGAAGGTACAGGTAGCTTGTAGACGAATGGAGGAAGACGAGGTGTATTTGGTAAAGGTTGAGCCAAACTAAGTCTGAGTCTTAGTTCTGCCCCTTTGCGAGCTGTGTTTTTGGCAGGTTCCTGAACTGAACCAGTGACAATAATAATACCTACCTCATAGGGCTGGAAGCAGGATTAAATGACATGGAATGTATGTAAAGCACCCCGTACAGAATCTGGCACACAGTTAGCCCTCAGTGACAGTAGACAACAACCAGCCACGTGGCATGACCTTGGCCAGCTCCCAGCCCACGGGGAGGCAGGACTCTTGCTTTTTCCCGGTCTAGCTGCATCCTGTCGTGGGGCTTTTCACTGTGGATAAAATTGTGGCTTCCATGTGTCCTCTGGGAATGCACGTGCTTGAGGTGTGCATTTGGAAGTGGGATGCGGGGATCCCTCCTGCTCTGAATATGCAGAAAACAGGATGTATCTGTTTCGGAAACCAAGAGAGCAGAAGAGCAGAGGGGAGAGGGAGCTGCCGCAGCAGCGCGCTGAGGGGAGGGCACTGGAGGGAGAGAGCCCGTGGCCAAGCACTTGCACTGTGATGACCATGCCGGGGCGGGGACTGAGGCTCGGCCTTCGTGAGGCTGGAAGCTGGAACCAGGACTGTCAGGTTCAGCTGGGATCCTTGAACCCTGCACTCTCGGGGAGTGGGGACCTAGAAAAAGTCTGCTATTAGCTTTGGAAGGTAGCGAGAAAACCTGTCACTACTCAGGAGTCTGAGTAAAAACAAAATAGCATTTTTGCAAAAACAAGCAAAACTATTAGAACTAATTTAAAAATTCAGCAAGCCCGGCCGATGTGGCTCAGTGGATTGAGCATTGTCCCATGGGCTGAGAGGTCCGGGTTTGAGTCCCCATCAGGGCATGTGCCTGAGTTGTGGGTTCGATCCCCAGTAGGGGGCGTGTGGGGGGCAGCTGATCAATGTTTCTCACATTGATGTTTCTATTTCTCCCTTCTTCTCTTTCTAAAAAGAAAAAAAAAATCAATAAAAATAAAAAAAATAAATAAAAAATTCAGCAAAGTTCAAGGATACAAAATCAACACACAAAACAAGCTGTGTTTCTATACATAACAATGAACAATCCAAAAAGAAAATAATTCCAGCCTTGGCCAGATAGCTCAGTTGATTAGAGCATCGTCCCCATATCCCAAGATTTCGGGTTCGATCCCCAGTCAGGGCACATACAAAAATCTAATGAATACATAAATAAGTGGAACAGTAAATCAATGTTTCTTATTCTCTTTCTCTCTCAATCAATAAATAAAAGTTTGGAAAAGAAAAGAATCAACCAATGATTGCATAAATAAATGGAACAACAAATCAGTGTTTCTCTGGCCGGTTTGGCTTAGTGGTTAGAGCACTGGCCCATGGACCGATGAGTCACAGGTTCAATTGACCGCAAGGGCACGTACCTCGGTTATGGTTCATCTCCGGCCCTGGTTGGGGTCGTGCCGGAGGCAACCAGTCAATGTGTCCCTCTTACATTAATGTTTCTCTCTCTCTCCCTCCCTCCCTCCCACTCTATCTGAAGATAAATGAAAAAATATCCTTGGGTGAGGATTTTTGAAAAAAGAAAGAAAGAAAAGAATTCCATTTACATAGCAATAAAAAGAATAAAATAATTTTGCATAAACTTAACCAAGGATGCAAAAGACATACATTAAAAACTACAAAACAGCCCTGGCCGGTTTGGCTCAGCGGTTAGAGTACCGGTCTGCGGTCCCGAGAGACCCAGATTTGGTTCCCACTAAGGGCCGGTACCTTCGTTGCAGTTTATCCCTGGCCCTGGTTGGTTGTGCAGGTGGCATCCACTTGATGAGTCCCTTTCGTGTCGATGTTTCTCTCTCTCTCTCTCTCTCTCTCTTTCTCTCTCTATCTCCTTCCCTCCCTCCCACTTTATCTGAACAAAATATGGAAAAATGTCCTCGGGTGAGGATAAAAAACAAACAAACAAATAAACAAACAAAAACTACTAAACATTACTGAAAGAAATTAAGGAAGTCACAAATAAGTGGAAAGACATCTATCTTACATTTATGGATTGGAAGTCTTAATACTGCCTAAAGCAATCTATAAATTCAATTAATCCCTATTAAAATCCCAATGATGATTTTTTTGCAGAAATAAAAAAATCCACCTCAAAAATCACATGGAATCTCAAGAAACCCCAAATAGTCAAAACAGTCTTGAAAAAGCAAAGCAAAATTGGATGTCTCATACTTCCTGATTTCAAATTTTACTACAAAGCTACAGTAATCAAAACAGTGTGGCATTGGCCTACACCATTTAAGGACAATCTCTTTAACAAATTGTGTTGTGAAAGCTGGATATCCATGTGCAAAAGAACTTCAGTTGGACTCTTTCTTTACACCATCTACAAAAATTAACTCAAAGTGGATCAAAGACCTACACATGAGAGTTAAATCTATAAAACTCTCAGAAGAAAACATAGGGGAATACTTCATAACATTGGATTTGGCAAACATTTCTTGGATATGACAACAAAAGTAAAAATAGATAAATTGGACTTAATTAAAATTTAAAACTTTTGTGTCTCCAAGGATGCAATCAACAGAGTGAAATGGCAACCCATGGAATAAGAAACTATTTTTATTAATCCTCAGCTGAGGATATTTTTTCATTGATTTTTTTAGATAGAGTGGAAGGGAGAGAGGGAAAGAGAGAAACATCCATGTGAGAGAGACATTGATTGGTTGCCTCCTGCACTACTCGAGACCAGGGACTGGATCAAACCTGCAACCCAGTTTTAGCAATCCCAGAGTGGGGTGAATTGAGTAGTGGTAGGGGCTAGTTTCAGCAGAGACAAAGGCAAAACCATATCTGGAGGGAGCTTTCACAGCCCAGGCCCCTTGGACCATCCATGAGGGAAAAACAATCCCCCATTTTAGCTCACAATCAGAAATGATAAAACACATGAGAAACTGAGCTCCCAGAGGAGGATTTCTGGCTCCAAAACCTGAATTAATAGAACAATCTGAAGACTTTCAAATAACTAATTTAAAAGGATGAAGGAAATAAATGAGAGAGCAGAGTGCAACATAGTGTGGGACAGAATTAGAAGGGTTTCAGAAAAGGGTTGGTCTGTGGGGAGAAGGAGAAGATATGCTGGGGAAGATCAGAGTGGAGGAGAGAAGACTAAGAGAGGGCAGGTTAGATCTCCAGCCCAGCCCACTGGGCAGCTCCCAGGCTGTTTAGCTGCTGCATCTGTGAGATGGATATCTTTCCGCTGCGGACAGGACTTGGCGAGTCCCTGATCGCTTGGTATTGAGGTTGAAATAAGAAGACTTAGAAGGCATGGACTCCCCAGGGAGTTAGTGCTGAAGCCCTGGCCTGGGAGGTGCTGGACTCACAGGGGGAAGGACACCGTTCCCTGAAGCCCCTGGGCAGGGCGGACACTGGCACTGCAGGATGCCCTGGTGTGGTCACCTCCATAGCCTCTACCTGGCTTCTCCACAGCAGGGAAAATAGCTTTGTAGGCAAGGGGAGAGCAGTGACAGGGGGTGGACCGGAGCCTGGGACCTGCCACTGCGGAGAGGGTGGTTGAAGGAAGCGCCAGGAGAGAGGAATGAAAGACAGGCAGTAAGGGGGAGGGGGAGGTGACAGAACTGGGCACAGGACGGACTGGCCGTGGTTGACAACTGTATTTCCCTAGAAACCAGGACTCAAAGGAAATATGTATTTTCTTCTGAATATTATCTATATATTGTAGATCAAATTCCATTTTGAATAGCAGTGGATCTCCACCACAACAAATGAAGACCAAGAGGGGGAAATCCAGCTCTACTATTTGCTGCGAGTCTTCGAGCAGGTGCTTCTGTAAGTGCGGCCCCGGCCGTGCATTCCGCCAGCGGTGCATCACTGCTCTGCAGCACGGCAGGTGCTGGAAGCAAGAGTGAGCCCGGAGCCCGGCTGCTGTGGCTCAGTGGTTGAGCATCAGCCCACGCACCAAGAGGTCCCCGGTTCGATTCCCAGTCAGGGCACATGCCCAGGTTGTGGGCCCGATCCCCAGTGGGGGGCATGCAGGAGGAGGCCAGTCGATGTTTCTGTCTCTCGCTCTCTCTCTAAAAATCAATAGAAAAATTTTTAAAAAAGAGTGAACACGGAGAAACCCCTATAGCAATATGGCGTCTGCTGAATCTGTGATTTAAAACCCAGGGCTTGTAGTTTGTACATTTGCTTTTTATTGCATCCGGGTTGCAGTTTGTCCCTGACCCTGGTTGGGCCGTGCAGGAGGCAGCCACTCGATGTGTCCCTTTCATGTCAATGTTTCTCTCTCTCTCTTCCTCTCTCTCTCTCCCAGTCTATCTGAACAAAAAATAGAAAAATGTCCTCGGGTGAGGATAAAAAAAAAGAACTAAAGGTGATGGCTGGTCACGGAAACCCTGGAAGCCCTTCCAAGTGCCCCCCCCCCGAGAAGTTTCAAGGGCCCCTCTGCACAGTCTTCCCCCCAGGTGGAGTGTGAGGGGCGTCCTGGGGAGGGGCCGCCATGGAAGGGCGCGGGCCCGGAGCGCACTCAGCGAGAGGCCGCAGTGTTTCGGGGCGGGGGAAGTAGAGGAG